CTGTGAGTCACCAGGAACTCACATTTCTACAACAACGGAACGAAGATTAACATTTCTTCCATTCACACGGAGTAGTAGATTCTAGTAAAAACTCTTTTGTTATGAGAACCATGAAGGACTTGCTAAATCTTCATTAGTGCCATGACTTGCTAAATCTTCATTAATGCCCATAGTTTCGGTTTATGTATATACATGTATCTGATCATTCTAGATTTTAATTGTGATATCTTAATGACTGAAACTGGTGTAAAAGTCAACGCCATTTTGATTTTAAGTCTCAACTTGGATATTTTGAGACAAATCCATGCGGAGCCTTGTGCAAAGAGAACTGCGCACAAAATGTCAAGCCTTTGTATAAATTGACTTTTTTCAAGCGCGCGCTGAAAAAAACAAACTTTTCTGGGCGTGTTGTGAGAACTCAAAGCCAAACTTTTCCCAGGCTAGAGAGAGCGTTTCTAATTATAGTTCCCGAAGTATCTACCAATGACAGCGCTCGAATCTAACATTTAATCAGGCGAACGTGCGTAAGCCGTTCAACCTGTTGTTTCAGGGGAGGGGCAGTGCCGTAGGTCATCCCTGCGCTTCGTGCCAGTTAGGACGATCCCCGACAACCCGTCAACATACAAGTTGTACAGAGCACAATTATGGCACAATTAGAGCACAAACAACTACAGGGGAGACCAATGCGTTTTATCACCCTCATGAAAACAAGGGAGGACACTAGTTCCTCCTCTTCTTCTTCCGATGATGCCCATCTGCAGAGAAATCGGCAGTAACTGGCACGTCTGGGAAAAGTTGTGTAAAGGTACTAAAGCGCATGTTCCAAGGACACAACGTCGGGGCATGTAGGTGGAATCGAACCCAGGACCCATGGGTTAAGGGGCGAATACCCTACTATTACACCACGCGACGCCACAGAAATCCAACTTTGAGGCATATTGTACACTGCAGAGTGTTATATTACGAGCAATGTGAATAAAATAATATTTTTGCCATCATTTTTGGGGGTATAATAGACACATAATAAACATAGAACAGAGCTACGGTGAACCGAAGAGAATTAGTCACAACTGTTACAGTTTTTTCTCTGGTACGCGCAGTTTGAATCCAAAACAACTTGCTTGACTGCACGGACAATACATCTGACAACAAAATGACGCCAACTATCTAGCCGCCTTCGTGAACATATGGGCAGGCGGCGTTAATTTTTTTCGGGGAGCAACGCGAGTTATGTCGCGGTGGGACGGTTTTGCTAGCCTCTGGAAAGATTGGAAACCGGCCAAATAGAGAGATAACATGCCAGGCCAGGGGAGGTGGTCCACACTGAGAGAACAGTTTGCCATTCTCTCAGCGTGGACCACCTCCCCTGGCCTGGCATGTTATCTCTCTATTTGGCCGGTTTCCAATCTTTCCAGCCGCCTCCAGAAGCCTAGTAGAGGCTACTATTTTGCCCTCAAGGAGTTTGCCGGGGAGACGGCAGATTTGATACTACGCAGTATCATGCCTCCCGTATGCATATGGGGCAAAAACTACAGAGGAATTCCTCCAACCGTATTCGATTATATATCATATATGTGAGGTCTTGAGAAGAAAAAGTCGAATGGTATCGAAAAACCAATATCACTTACGTTTAGTTCATTCACCAAGGACAATCACCAACCGGTAGAAGTGCGCCTTGGAAAAAACAGCTCTTCTGAGCGCGGCGCGAGAAGTGCGCGCTTTTCCCTCACTAGGACCAGAGTCTATAATTATAGGTTCCTAAATATCTACCAATGACAGTGCCCGTTGAGTACCTAATTGAATAATTAAAACCGTGCGTAAGCCGTTCAACCTGTTGTTTCAAAGGAAAGGGGAGGGTCAGTGTCGTAGGTCACTTTTGGGAGGGCCTGTTGAACATTCCTTATATTGAACCTGTCAAAAGACACAGAGATTAACGACCGGAAAAAATTGATAATTACTTTTGAAACGAAGACGACAGAGATTGATTGCACATTACAGAGTGACATACCACCACGATTGACTACAAAATGGCAAGTAATGTGTTTGCCGTAATATTTTCGCAGCCAACGTAATTCGTTTTACGTCGTATCTGTATCTTTTCACATAACATATAGCTTTCTATCCTAACATGTTATAGTTACGTACGAGCATCTACGTACATAACAGCAGCAAAGTGAATTGAGAATGGAGCTACAATCAACCAAAGAAAAATCTGCATTAATTTGTATAAAATGCAATGGTAAGTATCCAGGTGGGAAGATACGTAAAACGTTGACACTTTCAACTAAAACAAGGCAAACTTTACTACAGAGTCTACAAAATGTCAGATATTTGGCAGACTCCGGATCCTTCGTAGACTTGTGTGGCGGCGGCGTAATTTTTTCTTCTTTATTTTGTGGAGCGACGTTGTGGGGCGGCGGCGTTAATTATTTTTTCGGGGCGCGACGCGAGTTTTGCCGCGGTGGGAAGGTTTTGCCTCCGACTCGGGGAGTTTGCCGGGAGAGAGTTTTTTTTACCGTTTTGGGGGCGGTGAAAAATCTCTCCCTCGGCGGCAAAACCGTCCATCCGGTGCAAAACTCGAATCGCTCCCCGAAAATAAATTAACGCCAGCCGCCCCACAAGTCTAGATCTGCGAAGGGGGCTAGATATTTGGCGTCATTTTGTTGCCAGTTGCCGCTCAAAGACACCGCTAAATGCGAGGTGTCCAAATACAAGTAAAATGTGAAAGGTGTGATAAAATATGACCACACTCACGCTTTAACTTCGAAGATTCACCGAAGACGATCTCCGACCGGTAGAAGTGTTGTTTCAAACCCAGCACTTCTGAGCGCGGTGCGAGAAGGACAGACTTTCCCCAGACTGGAGACAGTCTCTAATTATAAATCCCTAAATGTATCTACCAATGACGTTGTCCAATGACAAGCACGTACGTAAGTCGTTGAACCTGTTGTTTCAGAAGAAGGGGAGGGCCAGTGGTCAATTTTGGAGGGCTCGGCGCCATACCGTAAGAGCAACGACATGGAAAACTCGGCAAGACAAATGATTGACACTTGGACTACATAGTTTTATTTTTTATTTTTTTGGCAGGTGACTACTCTACAGGGTTTTTGAAGGGTAAGTTGGACGTGACCCTTAAAATCGAAATCACTATACATTTTGAACTTTAGTTGACTCAGCCATATTATGATGTGATGATATTATCGTGTCATTTCGATCAGAAGACATACCAGCAACATTTCATGATCAGATACAAAATGTGTGGAATGTTGGACGACATCATTCATCAGGCACTCCCATTTCTCTACAAAAAGCTGTTAAAAGGGGAGGGGATCTTCACATTTGTTCCGCTTGTTGCCCAGGATAAAGGAGCCTGCCAAGATATCTGTAGTCTACTAAAGGTCACATATTTTCCATCATTATTGTCCACAGATCACACCCTTTCTGGAATTATCCATTTGGTATTTGTAATTACAGGGAGGGGATCTTCACATTTCTTCCGTGACCTCCATTTAAAGCCTATCCGAGGGACGTCCCTAACCAAAGGTAGGTACTCATTTACACCTGAGTGAAGTGGGGAAAGTCGTGTTAAGTGCCTTTTCCAAGGGCAGGATCGGTGACAAGGTGGGGTTCGAACCCGGGACCTCTTGGGTTCAGACCGTAGACGCTGCCTCTACGCCACACGACCCCACTGAATGGAACCGAGTACCCATTGGTTCCGGGCCGAATGCCCTACCATTACGCCACAAGACGCCACAGAAATAGAATTTTAAGGCAAAGTGTACACTACATAGTGTTATATTACGAGCAATGTAAACCAAACATGATATTTTGCCATCATTTTGGGGGTAGGTGACGCATAATAAACTTAGAACAGAGCTACCGTGAACCGAAGAGAACTAGTCACAACTGTTAACGTTTACAGTTTTTTTCTCCGGTACATGCAGTTTGAAAACTCCACAACAACCTGACAGCACGGACAATACATCTGACAACACAATGACGCCAAATATCTTGCCGCCTTCGTACATTTATGGGGAGGCGCCGTTAATTTTTCGGGGACGCGACGCGAGTCGCGGTGGGACGGTTTTGCCGCCGAGGAGTTTGCCGGGGAGACGGCAGATTTGATACTATGCATGCATGCCTCCTGTACGGGACAAAAACTACAGAGGAATTCGTCAAACCGTATTTGATTGCATATGCGAGGTCTTCAGAAGAAAATAAAAGTCGAATGGTATCGAAAAAAACTTACGTTTAGTTTATTCACCAAGGACAATTCCCAACCGGTAGAAGTGCGTCTTGAAAAAACAGCTCTTCTGAGGGCGGTGCGAGAAGGGCAAGCTTTTCCTACACTAGAGACAGAGTCTCTAATTATAGGTTCCTAGATATCTACCAATGACAGTGCCCGATCAAAACCTCATTAAGTAATTAAAACCGTGCGCAAGCCGTTCAACCTGTTGCTTCAAAGGAAAGGGGAGGGTCAGTGTCGTAGTTCACTTTTGGGAGGGCCTGTTGAACATTCCTTATACTGAACCTGTCAAAAGACATAGAGACTAACGACCGGGAAAAAATTGATAATTACTTGTGATCACTAAAAGAAGACAAAAGACTGACAGAGATATATTGTACTCTACAGAGTGACATACCACCACGATTGACTACAAAATGTCAACACCAAGTACATGTATTTGCCGTCATATTTTCGCAGCCAACGTTTTACGTCGTATCTGTACCTCTTTTCACATGACATAGCTTTCTATCCTAACATGTTATAGTTTAAACAGCAGCAAAATGAATTTATAATGAGCTCCAATCAATCGAAGAAAATAGCCACAACTGTTGCAGTTTGCATCAACTTGTATAAAATACAATGGTGAGTACCCAGGTGGGAAGATCAATAAAACGTTGACACTTTGATATAGAACAAGGCAAACTTCACTACAGAGTCTACAAAAATGCCAAATATTTGTGAGCCTCCTACGTAGACTTGTGGGGCGGCGGCGTTAATTATTTTTCGGGGAGCGACGCGACTCTGTGCCGCGGTGGGACGGTTTTGCCGCCGACGAAGTTTGCCTGGAGAGAGTTTTGCACCGTTTTTTGAGCGGTGAGAAATCTCTCCCCCGGTGGCAAAACCGTCCCACCGCGGCGTAACTCGTGTCCCTCCCCAAAAAATAATTAACGCCGCCGCCCCACAAAATTACAAAGAGTCAAAAAGTACTATACAGTATCTGTACCGGGTCTAGAAATTCAAATAATAAAGGATGAAAAATACAACCAAACTCACGCTTGAATCATCCACTACAGACCGGATCTTCAGACGGTAGAAGCGCGTCTTGTCAAAAAGGGTCTTCTGGTCGCAATGCGGGGAGGGCAAGTTTTTGTCAGACTAGATATAGCTTGTCTGATACAGCAACCAATGACAGTGCCCGATACCAACTATAAATCACTGTAGGAAAGCTAGCCGTTCAACCTGTCGTTTCAAAAGAAGGTGGAGGGGCCGTTCAACCTAGTCGTTTCAAAAGAAGGTGGAGGGGCCTGTGGGCATGCTGTGTCGTGGTGATGCCTTGGGTCGTTGCCAGATTGGGTACTAGTATTGTCACTTCTTGCACCTGCTGTCAAAAGATTCGAACGTCGTGGAAAATTAGGATTTCATATGGTAGAGCTTTTCGTCATTATAAAAGTACTTTGGTTAAACACACACACTCACTCACACACACGCACACATACACACGCCCGCACGCACACGCAAACACACGCCCACACACACGCGCACGCACGCACGCACGCACACACACACACGCACACACACACACACACACACACACACACACACACACACACACACACACACACACAAACTAGCCTCATATAGACCCTCACATATAACGGAAGAACGAACACTGAAACACCTGAAGGCGGGTCACTTGGGTCAGGTCTAAAGTACTTGTTATGGCCTGGGTTGTCAACACTGACAGTCTAAAGTTGCGATTGGAAGCGGACTCTCTGTGTAATTTTCTGAGCGCGGTGCAAGCTGGCTAGAGTCTTTACCCGATTATGACAATAAATCATTTAGGTACTATTATAATAGTACCTAAATGATTTATTGTTTATGTTTATAAACATTTTAGAGAAGACTTCTGGGAAATTTCATGGGGAGACAAAGTAGAGACAAAAGTTTGACGAAACTAACATGATCAACATCTCACACAAACAGACACACGTACACAAACGCGCACGCACGCACGAACAAACATGCACACACACACAGACACGCACACACAGGCGCACGTTTTCGCGCGCGAGGGTATTACGCAGAACATCAAGTTTGATTGTCGTGGGAACGAACAATTATACCCCGGGAAAGCCTCAGGATATGTCACTTGAGTTCCGTCATTTAACTGAACACGAACAATCTAGCTGTGTAGTAGCCCGTCTTGTGAAAACAGCTGTTCTCTTCTTCGTAAACTCCGAAGATAACTGACTAAGTTTCCTGTCTATTCACAAACTGGACAGATATATGGGTAGGGTAGTCGTGTGCACGCCACGAAAACAGCTGTTCTTTACGTGGTGCGAGAAGGGCAAACTCTTCCCAGGTTAGAGAGAGCGTCTCTGGTTATTGGTTATGATATCCACCAATGGTAGCACCTGATCATAATAATTAAACACGACTCACGATAAGCCGTTCAAACTAATGTTTCAGGTGGAAGAGCAGTATCCGTGAGGTCACCTTTATGTAGTTATTTTTTGCCAGCATGGCCAGTTCGCAACACATCGTACGAACAGTACTCATTTCACTCTCTCACTCACTCACTCACTTACGCTCACTAACTCACTCACGCTCATTCACCTGATCATAATAATAACTCACTCTCTCACTCACGCTCACTCACTCACTCACTCATTCTCTTCTGGGCGCGGTGCGAGAAGGGCAAACCTTTCCCAGGCTGTAGACAGAGCGTCTCTACTTTTAGATGCCTATCTAGCCTATCTACCATGTGACAATGCCCTATTACAATAAATCATGTAGGTAAGCCATTCAATCTGTCAAAAGGGACAGCGTCATAGTTCGTTTTTGGGCTCGTTGCCCGTTTGTGCATTGCCTCTTCTTGCACGTCACAAGACCCGATATATAGATAATATAGAACTTGATATGGCAGTTTTTTTTCCCTCAGAACGAATAGAGTCGTTCTATCATTTGTCACTATTTGGAAATGAGCATCTGACATATAAATTACAGATGTTTTTTCTTATCAATGTTAGATCAGGTGTTGTTTTTTTCTCTTCATCAACACTAGTCCAGGTAGCTCTGGCATAGAATACTAATGAGGTAAGTTGTGTTACACTGTGTAATTGTCCGGAAAATTTAATGGAGACTTACTTGGGGTCCTATGACATGAATGACGATGAAAATTTGATTAAAAAATTGATCAACATCTTTAACACCCCCCCCCCCCGAAAAACCAACATACATGTACACACAGACACAAACACACACGAACACGCACACACACACACACACACAGACAATGTGACACATGCATACACAAATGCATACATACACACAAACATATTAAAAATTGTATTAAAAAATAATACGATTCAGTTTCAGGTTCCTAGTAGCAAGCCCTGTATCTAATAATACACTAAGGTGAGGTATTTTAAAATAATCTACTTAGCATTAGGCTTCTTATAGTAATAGCTACTTTCAAATCCCTTTGGAGCTTGGCAGGATAGTACCAGTAGCTTTATTTCACACTTCAAGCTTTATCGATGCAACATAACATATTACCAACTTTGTGCCAGTACACTTGGGTTTAACACAGGCTGTTTTCAATTAATTTATGGTTCTTAAATCATGTTTTTAGACAACAATTATGATAATTTCTATGATCAGGTTGATTTTGAGTAAGCCTAGTCTGCATGGGAATTTGGTCCCACTTTGGCAATACATGTAGTGTAAGAAGACTATTTCTTCCCCAGCGGTTTCAAAACCTGATTTAGATAAGCTGCTTTGTACAGACTACTACAGTGCTTCATACAATCAGAATTTTATCAGATCATATTAAATATTCCTTTTCAGCAGCTAAATTTTCTAGCACAGTGATGTTTCTGAGGTTGCAGTTGAAAAAAATAAGTGAACACCAGAAGCTGTTTGCAGGTTTGGTGAATTTCTGGAGTTTAAACCATGTACTTATAGCTTTAAATCAAGGCTTTGTTAGTATACAGAAGTCAATGTGTGGGCTTATGCGCATGTAATCTATGGCAATGGTAACAGAAACTACAAATGTTATTCATGTACAACAATGAGAAGAGCCACAGAAGTCTATGATTATCATGGAAGTACACAAGGATCAAATTTCAACGACCACTGTAGCCCGTCTTCATCAGGATTAGTAATGACCAATCACTTCCAAACGTGTCTGCAACTCTCACTTTACTTTTCTCGTGAATAAGGCCACAGGTCTGTAACTCTCACGTTAACTATAAGTTACTGCAGTTGCAAAAAAGTAGTCACTTCTGAACGTGAATCCAAAAATAAGGTCACATGTCTCTAACTCGACAGTGGACGTTGAAAATTTGATCCTTGTGCATCCTTCATCGGTAGTGGTGCATACCTAAACCCAATTTTAGGTTCAGGTCCGGATTCAAGTCCAGAGGTTTAGGTTCAGTTCCGGACTTGTAAGTCCGGACCTAAACCCATGGCATATACAAAATTGCATGTTGGCAACCTTGCTATGTTGTCTGGGTGAAACTTTGGCCACATAACATGGAGGCTGGTACTTGACGATGCCCAATGGCAATGTTTTCTTCATTTTGCAGCAAAGATTTTGCAATCTATCATGGAAGGTTTTGGGTGGTTTGGAAAAAAAAGGGGTATGTGAAATGGTCTTTTATGGTCCGGACTCGGTTCTTGACTTTTAGGTTTTTTTGGACTTGAACCTAAACATTCTTACAAGTCCGGATCCAAGTCCAGTGAACCGGTATGCATCACTATTCATCAGGGTACACAAGGATCGTGCTATGTATGATTCAAGCTATGGTCTGCTGGCTGAAGAGGTCAAGGGTCAGGGCGCTGAGGAATGCTGGGATACTGTGCTGGGTCTTGAGGTGGAGGTCCACCATCATCATCACGGCCTGGGAGTTGGAGAACTCCGTCTCCAGTAGCTGCAGCTCCCCGCCTGGCACCATCTGTGCATGATGTACAAAACTAGAGAAGTAACATTTGCAATGCAAATACATAATGTTTACCTTCGGACATGGTGTGCCCTGTTAATTTTTACTCAAACATATTCACATACATGTACTACTAGTATATGGTGACAGGAGCAGAGCAGACCATGAAGTTTGCAACATTATGTAACCCAACACCAGTCACCATGGTGACAGATGTCAACAAATCATGTCATTGGCCAGGTCAGAGGTTAGTGTTTGGAGAAGAAGAGGAAATTGAGTAAAAACAATATGTTTTCCTTCGGTAAACATAATGACTAATAAACTGGTGGACGTCCCAAGTACTAAGTACCTAATACCAGCCCAGAAGAGAAAAAGAAATAGCCATGCCTTCAAGTACCAGAGTTATCAACCAAGGATTGAGGACCTGGTGTTTAATAATTCATTCTTTCCTAGAAGTATTGCAGAGTGGAACTCGCTGTCACCAAGTACAGTAGTGGCATTATCATTAGATAGCTTTAAACAATGTCTATAGTTAGAAGTTCAAGGGCTAGGTGTAAGTTGATCGGTGTAATATAAACAGCTGCCGCCATGCCGCGTGCCTGCAAAGCTGGTGTGTTACGCCGAAAGGCGGTTATACCGGCTATACAGATACAGATACATCTGGAAGTACAGGAAGGAGGGAGGACTTTGGGAGGTGGCTGGAAAGAGTAGAAATTGGCAAAATAGTGAGGTAACATGCCAGGGGAGTTTTTCTGCTACAGTGTAGAGGTTGCCACTATCTCATTATTTGGCCTATTTCTACTCTTTCCAGCCGCCTCCCGGAGCCTGGTAGAGGCTAGATCTTACCTGAAACATGAGGCAGTCCTCCTGCCGCTCAGCATACATGGACATGAGTTTGTAGTTGTTGTCCTTCACCACGTCCACCTTTAGTAGTAGTAGTAGTAGAATGGTTTATCATTACGAAAACAAGAAAATGTACACACACACACACAAGCCTCCTGGCGCATGGCTATGATGGCTGAATTGTGAGGCCTATTCTGACATCATGTTACGACAAAGTATATACATTCATAAAATTTAAAAATATAGTTAAATTTAAAAAAATAAGCGAATATTAGTTTAAAATCGACAGGAGTGTGTTACACCTTCAATACATTGTAGCTGTGTAAAAAGTGAATAAAACCACGGTGTGGAATTACGGCAACTAGAATGAATAATAAAAGCTCATGGTCTACAGTTCATTTATGCAGCAAGTTTACACTGTAATTTCCAACTAGGGCTGCGTACCTAAACGTAACATCAGGTACAGGTACAGGTACTGGTACAGAGGTTTAGGTACAGGTCCGGACCTGTACCTGTACCTGAACAATTTGACAAATTAACACGTGTTCTTCACTTTTTCAATCATGACACAGAAACAATAATAAAGTGTTGGAGGGAAGGGAAAATTACTGACCTCTGACCTGATTTGAGTTTGTTGACCAATCACAACCCTGGATCAGCCACACTCTCGCGATGTCTCGTGAGACTGAGGATCTCAAATCAATCGACGGTGTTTACGTCTTTTCCAGTGCTAATTTTTCGTCTTTGTGGTAGGATTTACCTATCTTTAGTCATATACATGGTGTAAACTAGCTATTTCGGTATATACTCGTTACTTCATGATCCGGTATTTTGGACCTGTACCGAAACGATTTTTACGGTATTGGACAGTGTACCGGTCCGCAGCCCTATTTCCAACACAAGAAATTGAACTCACCCAAATTTTCGACTGTACAACTCCAGTCTTTGTCAAGGAATGAACCGCTCATGGAGTCACGTGTGTTATCTGCGTGACATCACGGATTGTTCATTGTTCATTCCTTGACAAAGACTGGAGTTGTACAGTCGAAAATTTAAGTCCAATTTCTTGTGCTGGAAATTACAGTTTAAACTTGCTGCATAATGACTTCTACCAACACAGATGAACTTTCAAGATACAGTTGATTTAGTTCACCTTGTAGCCCAGCAGCATGTAGCAGGCCTGGCGGAACTCGTGAATCTTCTGCTGAAACACCTCCTTCAGTCGCGTGTTCTTCGTCTCCGCCGTCGTCAGCTGCTTCTTAAGATCTGGAGTGAACCAAAAAGGAAAGAAAGCTGTTTAAGGTTACAGTTTTGTTAACTTTTGTTGATTTAATAGATGACATCCGCAAGCATGAATTTTAGTCTATTTCCCCATAAAAAGTTTTCAACCCTACTATAAATTGTACAAAGCAGCTGCAAAATGAGCAAATATACATGTATGCTGTAGATTGCAAAAATTGGAAAACAATACTAATGTCGTAGAATGCTGAAATCAATTCCATAGGTAAAGAGGAAAATGTAAAGAAATGGAAATGAAGAGTCCAGTATCTGCCATACCATACTCAGTGTGTCAGTCATTTTTCAACCGTCATGACCACCTACATTTCTTGATGAAGGCAACTTTAATTATTGCCAAATTTTTTTTTATTCATACGCTTGCATCAGTTTTGGGGTTCCCAGAGGATGTCATCCATATAATCAGATCAACATGGCCTTACTGTACAATGCCGAACGGCTATGCCAAGCAATGAAATAAACTTCTGAACACAGGAAATATCAGTAGTTGTTTCAGTACCAACCTTCCATCTCCCTGCTGGAGGGTGTGTGCAGTATGCTGGCTGTCACGTCAGCGCTGCCCCCCTCCTCCGCGGCTCTCAGGCGCTGCCGAAGTTTCTCACACTCCTCCCGTAGTCTCTCCAGCTCCGCCTGCCTCTGCTGCCGAGCCAGCATGGTGGGGTTCACACCCAGGTGCACCACTTTGGTCCTGGTGGGATCGTAGTCTCCCTGGGAAAATATGAAGAACAGATTGACATACAAAACGAACAACAAAACCACTGTTTGAGTGCCATATTTCAGGGAAAAATCAAATTTTGTTTGATAGCTTTCCTCAAGCCACTACAGTAGTAGTAAAAAAAAATTTTACTCAGGCAACTTGATACATGTATGAATTTGGATATGATTTTGGTAGCATCCACTACCTTTTGTCAGTAACACAGTAATGTCTCTTACCTTGCTTACATTTTAGTGTCTATCAGACACTTTCCTCAGAGCTTCTGACAAACACAAGTATCATAGACTGAAGTGTAGAGTGAAAATATGGGAACAGGATGTTCTGGTCTGTAGTTGGAATTGAAATTACTGTTGGCAAAATTTGATGTGATAATGGTCTCTTGAAGTAACACTCAACACTTTTCCACACAACAATAAGCTGCAGTTGTCATTCCAACCTGTAGGTGCCTCTGCTCCACACGAGTCTCCAGGATTTCCTTTTCCTCTAGCACCTTCTGTCGATCCTTCTCCAGATCTTCCACCTTTTTCCTGAGCATGTCGACCTCCTGACTGTTGACAGGGTTGGGGGCTGGGGCCGGGGTGGAAGCCTTAAGCTGAGAAAGCTCTGCCTCCAGCTAACAGAACAAAGAAAGGCCAGGATGATTTAAAGGCATCCAATGCAATTTCAGCGCAACAAAAATGGATTTTCTGGTCATTTTTGAAATGTACATGTATTACGTTGAATCAATCTTATCCAATTGCTTAGTGATATCTTATGTTACATCAGGTATCCAGAAACTGTAAGCCAATATCTCACCATTTTTAGAAATAATTTTACAAATTCTAGTTCTACCACTTACCTTGTGTGCTTTTATTCTTTCTTCACTGGCCTGCGCATTCACTCTTTGCAAATCTTCCTGCAAATACAGAAATTACATCTGTATAGGCTGGATATATCTGGAACAACCACCTAACTACATCATGAAGCAACATAGAATATCAGAATATAATTTTTTTTCAAGGCCTTAACAGCAGAACACCACGGCTTCTTGCTACAGTAGACAACATGACTGTATCTCCATAGAAGTCACGCGTCTCTGGTACTATTGAACTATTTATGGGTCGTACCCAAAAAATAAAGAGACGCCCACATAGCTTGTTTTTGGGCTGTTTCAAATGCTCCATTAAGTATGAAATGATGACGGAAATGTCTTAAGAAATCCCAGTATCAGACAGATTTCTCATCCAGAATATTTTGTTGTTTTTCCGCCCTGAACTTGAAATGGATGCCTTTAATCTTGACGTGACGGTACCTCCAGGGATGTGACGTGTCTCTGGTAGCGCTGTGCAGCCTCCTCGCTGTCCTGTAACCTCTGCAGCAGGGCGTCATCCGTCCCCGCTCGCGTCACCTCACTCTCGTACGACACCAGGATGTTACGGATACTGTCGCGGTCCTGCCAAGAAAGGATCCAGAAATACTCATTTAAAAAGCTTCAATAGCAAGTTTTCTGATTACATCCAAATGCAAACAGAATACTAATTTATGTAATAGATATTTAGAGTTAAAACAAAAAGTTATCTCACCTAGAGCTTTTGACCAGTCACTCTGGTCTTCCTCAGTAGACTGACCCAGTGAGGTTTGTCACGTGGCTTCTTTGAAGTGTGACGTCAACACTGGGTCAAAGGTATCTGGTAGATGTCAGTGTTGACATCACACTTCAAAGAAGCCATGTGTCAAGCTTCACTGGGTCAGTCTACTGAGGAAGACCAGAGTGACTGGTCGAAAGCTCTAGGTAAGAGAACTTCTTTGTGTTGGATCAAAAGTTTTAACTTTAAACAAAAAAGCTTCAATAGTTAGTTCTCTGATTATAATCCAAATACAAACAAAAATTATACTTAATCATCAACAATTAGTTACAGTCATAGTCGTTGTTGATCTGACGCCAACCATTGCACAGCATAATGTAATATGTTTGCAAGGGAAACATTATTGATATAATCCCCCAAGATACAGACTAAAAAAAATGTGTTCAAAACCAATTTACCTTTGTAACCAATAGCAGCCTTCGTTGCAGCTTTTTAATGAGATCTGCCTGCTGGTTGGTCTTTTCCGTCGTTGCGAACAGCTGAGATTCCACCTCCCGTAGACGCCCGGTCGCGGCCTTATGGCCTGCCTCACTGTCACGGGCGCTACAGAAGACACAACATGACATTGATGACATCCATCAAAACATACAAACTTTTTTCAAAGACAAAGACGACCTACTGTAGTAAGTAGTGTAAACTACCTACTTTTTAAAGCTTTAGTTTTTTCCCTGTTCTCGTAAGGTCTCGTGTCCTGACCTAAATCTCGAAGTCAAAACATGGAAAAGCTAGTACTTAAACATATTGTGAAGCAAACATATTCTAGTTAAATGCACAGATTCTACAAGAGTATATTTTTTGTTACCTGGAAGTCAGCTGGCCAGTTTTTTCTGTTAGAAGTGCCTCCTTTCTCTGCAGTTCGGCGATCCACTTGGCTATATCAGCTGGGGACCTATTGAGAGGGGGCAAACCATGACCATATTTGGTAATGTAAAACAGGAGGATACCATATTTGGTAGCCCGAAACAGCCGACAGCCATATTTGGTGGTACTCTGATAACCTTATTTGGAAACGGGAAAACTCATGACCATATTTGGAACCCTGAAGCAGCCAACAGCCATATTTGGTGGTACGCTAAAAGCCATATTTGGAAACATGGAAGAACTGATGACCATATTTGGATCCTTACAAAACGTGTGACCATATTTGGAATTCTAGAGGACAGTACCTTGGAAGCTGACCTCCACTTGGGTCGATGCCCTCCCATTGCTTCAGCTTTGCTCGAAGATCCTAAAAAAGACAAAGACATCTCTTTCTTTTTAAAGTCTTCAGAATAAGCATCTTAGAATGGAATCTCAAGGAGAGAAAAAAGCATATGGGAAGGTTATGTGAAGGCATTCAATGAAATTTCATGGTGGCAAGACACAAAGTTTCTAGATGAGGAAATCTGCTTGATATTGACATTTACTACCAATTCGTAGGGCATTTTCTTTATCATTTCAGACTAGAAGCATTTGAAATAGCCCCAGAACAAGCTACGAGGGGACTCAACTTGGTTCAACTTATTACATGAAAAGAATGACCAGGAAACTGACTTTTTAAAAATCTAGTTTTGCACCCTGAAATTGCGTTGAATGTTTTTAATGATAAAAATTTCAAAGAAAAAAAAGAATCCTGACCTCGACTTCCTTGATGAGCTCCAGGTTGCTGTGTTCAGCTCGCCCGTACTTCGTCTCCAGACTGAGAAGTTTCTCCCTTAACAACTGGTTATTCTCACTGGTCTCCCTAGATCAGATACATGCACATTATAGAAAGGAAGTTGTTGTGTTACGCTGAAGGGCGGTTATACCGGCTATACCGATTCGGATACAGATACAGAAAAGTACATGTACTTTTAGCGGGTTACTAGTATTTACAGAGACATAACACAGTGTTTTGTATTTATTTGGTCTTTAAAATTTCCCTATTCTAAATCAGACGTCATTGAGTCACCAGGACAAAGTACAGATTTTGGACACTGAACTGGATTATTTTGCGAGAGAAGTAAAGGAGGCTATCTACATAAGAGCCCACCAGCCAGCACTCATCCACGGCGGGGGCCAATATCGTTTACCGGGCAATTATGATTCATTACTGAGGTCACATGTCCCTCAGGTCACGTGCTCAGAGTAATTAAATCACTTCACTCCTGAAGACGGTCAATGGATGTACAGTTGAAAATTCAAGGTCTGATTGTGTTGAACTAAAGTACTAACTCCTGGCATGTACAAACACAGATGAGCTTTCATGTGAAAAAAGAAGATACTTGTGTACACTTTATTACAATTTTTTACTTGTGTGATTTTGCTTGTGAGCAGTTTTCCACCTGTAGAACTTGTTCTGTTCCAGGAGTTTCTTGTTGTCCTTCTCCAGCTGCTCGTATCTGGACAGACGAGACTTCATCAGCTTGGCCATCGCAGCCGACTCCTGCACCTGGCTCAGCTGCAGCTCAAGTTCCTGATAAAACATTCAAATGCATTAAAGAAATCAGCACCTGTTTTCATGTAGCTTTTGAATATTTTACCTGACCTTACGATTTGACCATTGTATCTGCTTCAGCTGCACATGCCTACTTCCCACACTTGCACCTGCTTCCATCCTTAAACAGCTGCACACATCCCCTTCTTACCCTTCTCATACAGATGCACATGCACATACTTCCATTCCCAAATAGTTGCACCTGTCAACTCCACATCTGTAGCTTCCCTCTCCACAAAGTTGCATCTGCACCTGCCCTATCCTCTCACAGCTACATCTGCACCTGTATGATCCCCATAAAGCTGCACTTGCCCCCGTCTTCATACAGCTACATATCTGCACCTGCATGATCCCGCATCGCTGCACCTGCCCCAATTGCCACCTGCACCTCCCCTCCCACATAGCTGCACCTGCTCTCCCCTCACAGCTGCACCTGCTCTCCCCTCACAGCTGCACCTGCACTTCCCACACAGCTGCACCTGCTCTCTCGTTACAGCTGCACCTGTCCTATCGTCTCACAGGTACATCTGCACCTGATGATTCCCATAAAGCTGCACTTGCCCCATCTTCATACAGCTACATATCTGCACCTGCATGATCCCACAATGCTGCACCTGCTCTCTCCTTACAGCTGCACCTGCCCTATTGTCTCACAGGTACATCTGCACCTGATGATTCCCATAAAGCTGCACTTGCCCCATCTTCACACAGCTACATATCTGCACCTGTATGATCCCACATAGCTGCAGCTGCCCCATTTGCCACCTGCACCTCCCCTCCCACATAGCTGCACCTGCTCTCCCCACACAGCTGCACCTGCACTTCCTAGATAGCTGCACCTGCTCTCCCCTTACAGTGGCACCTGCTCTCCCCTTACAGTGGCACCTGCTCTCCCCTTACAGTGGCACCTGCACCTCCCACATAGCTGTACCTGCTCTCCCCTTACAGCTGCACCTGCTCTCCCCTTACAGCTGCACCTGCTCTCCCCTTACAGCTGCACCTGCTCTCCCCTTACACCCGCACCTGTTCTTCCCTCACAGCTGCACCTGCTCTCCCCTTACAGCCTCACCTGCACTTCCCACATAGCTGCACCTGCTCTCCCCTTACAGCTGCACCTGCACCTCCCACATAGCTGCACCTGCCCTCCCCTTACACCTGTACCTGCCCCCCTCCCCACCTGCCTCACCTTGACCTTGTGTTCAGCTGTCACAGCCCTGATCCTGTCCTCCTGCAGCTGCTGCACCTGTTCCAGCCGCGCCTGCGCCTGTCCTCGGTGGTGCTGCACCTGCTGCTGCGCTTCTGCAAGCTCGCTGTCACTCATCTCCAGCTCTGCCTCAAGTCTGGGTTTGGGAGAGAGAACAAGCCTCATTGGATGACTGATATCTAACAAACCATCTCAATGGTCCTCAGCCATGTACAGTTGTGTACAATGGGATGGATAAGACTAAACCATCAACTCAACGCTATCACTGGCAGGACAAATATGATGAGAAACATCTAAAACCAGTCTCTATAAAGTGCTGCAATCGCATGTTTCCGACGTTACGTCCCGGAAGCTGCAGTGGAAGGGTCCATTCCGTGAACAAATTTGGGTAAGTCCCAATTTTGTTGGATAGAAAGTTTAGCCCTTTTGGTCATAATGAAGTATACCTTGACACAGATGAACTTTCATGCTCAGTCTCTATAAACTTTGTATTGTATCAATATAATAATACATACATGCCATGTACAAATACATTTTGTATAAAAGTTACTTACCTTTTGACCTGGTTGCGTAGGCTGGATATCTGGCTTCTGGATGTTTCCCTAAGCTGTGAATACACAGGTAACAATACTTCCAAAATGAAATATCTGATAAGTTGGACTCAATCTTATACAAATAATCTAATAGCTAAAATCACAAGAACACAGCCCCCTTTCACTTATGGTTATTAAAATTGTATTGTTAAAAAAGCACTGAAGTTTACGCCTTTAATTGAACTTGGACACAGAGTATCTTGAAGTTAAAAAAGCAGTCACTCAACAATATCTAGTAACAGTTTAAATGGCGACACCCCTACTACAAAATAGTACATTCCCACCTCCTCTAATTCCGCTTGTATACAGAGCTTCTCCCGCTGCAATCCCATCATCCTCTGCTCCATTTGGGTCTTCATCGTCGTCAGTTTTTTCCGCTCTTCTGCGAGCTCCTCTTTCGCTTGTTTCTCCTCCTTCACCACAAACTCCAGCTTGTGCCGTAGGTCGTTGACCTGTTCTAGGTCACGCTGAAAGGGGAGTTAAAAAAGGTAAGAAACAAGAAATCTGACATTTCAGACTGCAACTTCCTTGGCTTCCTGAATTCCCCCAGGCTGACCTCAAATTCCTGCTAGCTCCTAGCATGGCCAGATTCTGAGACCTTTCTTCTCCTATCCTACTGCCTGTCAATCTTCCCATACATGCTATCAACCTGCTCTGTCCAAAGATGCAAACAAACCCACAATGCAGTAGCCTGGGTACCATCCTAATTGTATGCCGGGGCTCCCATACTCCCTCCTAAGAAATATTTCTTATTAGGGTACCCAGGCTAATAATGCAGTTACCTGAAAGTTTCAGCTTCAAAACTGTCATATTCAAAATGCATTAGTCCCCATAGGGAGTTTCTTGCCAGTTTAGATGATATCATTTACTTCATACTGAAGCCTGAACGTCTCTTGTCCCTTCTCAAACTCAATCTTGTCTCGTTTTTTCTCGGTCTCCAGCTGTGTGATGGCGGTCTCCAGTTTGGCGACCTTGCTGCGAGTCAACAGCAGCTCCCCTTCTCTCTCTATGGCCTGCTGCTGCTCATGTCTTCGGACTGAGACAAGAGGAAAGAATTACTATTTTCAGCTCACTGGAATGTTCATGAGAGAGAAGACAGATGTTATGTATGTACAGTATAGCTGTACTACTAACTGTACTACTAATATAGGGTTTATAATATTGTACCAAGGAAATTCCAGTATTTTTAGTATTTTATTTATTTTGCGTCACATCGATCTAAACAGGGTGACCCACTCCCTAATGGCACTGCTTTTCAGTGGGGCCCTGTACAACTAACTCTAAGTTTCTAACTCCTTCCAACAAGTACAATTAACAGTGGGCCACAGCTTAACATGCAAGTTGGGTTAGCATGAGCGACAACAACTGGGATTCTAACTCCCAACCTCTTGATCCAGACACAGGGTTGCTAACTTAAGCACAGTGCGGACTGCACAGGCTACATAAGCTACACACAGAAAATCACAATCATCCTTTAGTAATAATGAAGGACAAAATGAAGGTCAAAATATTCACAACCGACCTCGATTTCTCTTTGCGGTTTCCGGCCTGTCCCATTGCACTGTGCTGTCATCTGATCTGGAGGCTTCCAGTTGCATGGTGAGGTCCCCCTTGGCTGCAGTGGTATCTCCCATGTTGAAGAGAAGTGAGGAGTTGCTGTGTTGTCTCTTCCCCTCCGCGAGGTAGGAGTTAAAATCTCCCATCATCCTCACTACCTCCGTGTTGTCTTCTGGAGTCACATTCATTCTACATGTGGGGAACATAGCAGCATTAGAAGCGTATAATAATGTTGCAGTGGTTCTTAAAAATTAATACTGTACAGTAATTCCTTTTTTTTTTACAGTACTTTTATGTTCACGGTTACTTGACTTACTTCTGTATATACCATGAACTTATCATTACTGCTAACAATTGCGACTTTCGTTTTCCTGCACCTACCTCCACCATGTACATATAGTTCTGCAAACATTAGTGAATCACAGTTTTAGGTATTGTTACACATCAACTACAAGTCATTAAAGAAAATTGAGTGATCTAATCTTTAAGTTAACGTTAAGTAGCCTGTGTGCCATCCACAACAACAGCAAGAACAACAAAGTCAACAGTTCAATGCAATAAAATGATGACCTTAATCGCTTCTCTTCGCTTTCCTGAGTATGCAGTTACACTAAAAAGTAGTCTAGTGCCAAAACAACGGGATAAATTATTATGGAGAAACGTCATGCGTCAAAGTTACACGTTTTAGCCCCCCTCCCTCTTACGAACTCATGATCTCATCACAGACTTTGACCACCCGTATTCCATTTAGCTCACAACATCTTCAACCAAATGGACACATAAGCATTCAATACGACCTACATTACCTTGCAAAGCAGCTTCGCTGATCCTTGTAGGCAAAACGTAGCTAGAAACAGGGAAAATCTCGCAGGGTGCAAACATCAACACTTGGACTCGGCGCCATTTTAGCTTTCTCCTGACCACAATCCTTTGCGTAACAAATAAATGATCTATCCCATCATGCCACAGGTTCACTCATCTGGACCCTGCAGTGAGTATGATATCCGGCAGATGGCGCTGCTGTATGGTACACAGGGACCTTTCTTATAATAATAGCATCCCTCTCTTTGTTTTTCTCCTTCTCCTTGTGGTTGACCATGTTCAGTGCATTTCCTAACATCAAATAAGTTTTCTTTTGTGGTGGGGTAGAACAATCACTTATTTTACAACAGAACCATAATTTAACCTGAAAGGAATGTGTGTGGGTTGATCTGGGTTGCCTTAGCGTGGGTTAATGTGCGACAGTACAATTATATAATTATCAATTCTTATCCAGGTCATCGGTCTGGTCTGCTGATATTTTTTTTTCGCACCATTCAGAACTGACTTTTTCCACCAGCTTTCATGCAATACATTTTTTTACCAGTGCTGTATGTGCTACATAACATTAAATCTTATCTATTTTTAAAATTTGATATAATTAAAGGATTAAATTTGATACAATTCATGAACATTCCCCACCTCCCTACCAAATTTCTCTTGATGTCAATGTTGACATATCTTTTTTGCTTAAACCAGCTCTTTTATAGCTTTCACTACAGTATCTAGTGTGTACCTCCCTTCCAAGAGATACATGTATTGTATTCTATTTCCTGGTTACATTGTAACTTGTGCTCACAGGTTGTAGAAAGTTTCCTTGGTCTGTCTAAAAACATTACATGTTCTAGGTGACCTCCCCTACTTGTCCTAACGTGCATGCCCCCTTAGCCCACACACTCAAGTGTTTGCCGTATGACTCACCGGCCCAACCCACACAATACAAACACCTGGTAGCACGTGCGGCACACCCACACCTGCGTAACAGTCACAACCTTGTACGGTAAACATTATAGCACAAAGGGCACCCTGTACTGACGCCCACTAACACCAATGCCACAGGGCTTAATGGCATTAGCAGTGTTTGTGTGTGTAGTGATAATTATCCTGAGAAGGCTATACATACATGTATATATACTATAGGACTTTCATCCTTCCCTTCAATGCCTTCTTCCTTCCTCAAACACAGGAAACATCCTAAACGCCAGAATACATGTAAACCATATCCTGATATATTGACGTCATGGCTCCTATTATAGCTTCTGGGGCTGTCAGATGGTGCCTTGGTCCGTTACCCCCCCACCCCTTTTCGGAAAAAATCAGAGAACCAACATATCAAATTGGTTTGGCCTTACGTAAACCATGAAGGTCAACTGAACAGAACAAGTAAGAAAACAAGGCGGAGCCAATAATAACATAAGACCTTAAGTTTATTGTAGACATGTCGACGTAACACACTGAGGTCGTAAGGCAAAGATTCTATCTGCCTTACCTTCTTATTATATGTATATATCTACAACACTTGCATTTAGCTGTTGCAAAGTTTCCCACACATAGGCTCTGTACTTAGTACAGGACTGAAAGACACAAGAGGTGTAGGACCATGTGAATACATGTGGACTTCTGTATTACACACACACATCTCTGTAAAGCCAAATATTATAATTCTAGTGCCCAGCTCTCTCTACAGTTCTGTGCGGAAAGTTTTTAATGGCTAAAATCCAGAGCAAAAATGCGTGAAACTTGAAATGTTATTTACCTAATCCGTATCAAAAATGGAAATAAAGATTTCTGTGGAAGCTGATTTCTATTTACACACACCTTGAATTACATGTCTACCAGATCTAGAGAGGGCAGCACAATATCATTTTTACAAATGCAGCACTGCCATATGAAAACAAGCATAGGCCAGTCCCCCTTTTCTAGAAATATGGTGTGTCCCAACTATGCTTAATTTGAAACCAGTGGAACACACCATTATTCAAGGGGGTGGTAACAACCTGCCCTGACCAGCATTTTTTCTGTATCATGATTTTTAATATTAATGGTACATATAGGTGGCCGTTTTGCAAGAACTGTGTACATGACATTGTGCGATGTGAGGAAGGCACTTGTGATGCTATCTACAAAATCTGCTATTGGAGCTGAGTGTAGAACTAGTACGTTACTGTGCCTTTGCACAAGTGCAAGCATTGTGAGCAATGCCAAAAGTAAAGCATGTCAACATAGCCTGAATCTACTGTTATCTTCTAGAGAATTGTTTCCAGTTGTCGTGTGAAGTACATACATGTACATGTAGAACTGACTACTGTATATCAAGCCGCATCTATAAATTTTTCAAAGAAAAGGCTCAGAACAATGAGGCAAAAAATATGATTTCTCCCTCTAACCATCAATGTCATGGTTTATGATTTTGCAAAAATATGAAGGATGTTGAAGATATGATTATGAAAGAAAAATAAACTGTAGTTGAGAAGTATGGCATTCTTTTTCTGAAATTGTAATATTTTCAGGTGGATGAATGAAAAAAGAAACTTACCAACATGATTACGCCAGACATGACTATCATTATTCTGTATATAAATCTCCCATTTTCTGCTAAAGCATGTCCTACCTAGACATATTACCAAACATGGCACTAAAAAATCTTGGACGAAACACACATTTCAGAACTATTTAAAATGTTGTCATGTTCATTTCTTAACTTGCACTGTAGGTAGGTAGGTAGGTAGGTTTCACAATACAAACAATAAAATATGTTCAATCAAAATTCTTATTTAGAAAATTAAGAGGAAACAATACTCTCTTAACAATTTAAAAGCAAAGAATCACATTAATGTGCAGCAAAGGAAATGAGGCTTTGTTGTTGACAACATCTTTGTGGAATAACACCGTGCTAAAGCCTCAACGATTAAGAAACAGAAAAACAAAAGAAAAAGTTTGACATCTTTGCATGAAACTAATTCTCAAAAGTTGACTCAAACATTCAAGGTGTAATAGCTATGCTAGTTCACCAACTACACATTACCCCTTGGGGAAGGGGGTGGGTGGGCAAAAGGATATTCTGCCCCCCTCCCACCCCGTCACCTTACAACCATGTTGTTACATTCAGTCAAAAAGGAACTTCCTAAACACAAACACTGTGAAACAGGACCAGTTGAAATGTGAATGACAGAAATGCAGGTGGTCAGAAAATGACATGAACAAAAACAAACTACTCGCAGAGGTAATAACAGATTGCTGTACATGTACATGTACCTCTAAAATTTGACCAAACATGGCTATATTAAGTGGATGGATACTCCATTACATGGATTATTCACTTCAATTCTTGGGTGCTTTCGAGACTTCTATCATGTTTACACGCTTAGCTATACTCCTATCTCCTGTGCCCTAATGGAAGATGTGGGTTAAGTTACACTTGTCCAACACCAAACCTACTACAGTATGAAACCATAGTCTACCACAGAAAACAACAAGAACACAGGCAAAAATAAATACTACAAGTACGCACTCGAGAGGCAGTGAAGTACGCAGCTTATTATAACATAACTCTAGCATCTCCTCTCAAAATTCATTTGTACAAAAGTAAGGTATATGATAAAGATATAGATATATATTACATATCATAAACATTCGCTAATGTGAAATAAACTCTCTTCGAATTATATTTTCTTAGTAAGTTATTGGCATCATTGCATTAGAGGGATAGATATTTGGCTGAATATCACTCAGTCTATGTACATAGCATTATTCATTGACTACAGCTTAATCTCTGTCCTGTTTGATACGCAAGTCGCTGGGATGTTCTTGCTCTCTGATGTCGACCTCCATGTCGCGGTGGTTTGAGTGGAGGAGCGCGACGGCCGCCTGGATGTTCCCGTTGCTCTTCTGGAGCGTCGTGGCAAAGTTCTGGAGGGCCTCGTACTTTGTTCTCATGGCTTGGAGCTCAATTCTCATTTCCGTGTTTTCCCGCGTCAGCTTGTCGACCTCGGACTTGAGCACGTGCTGCTGCCGCTCCAGCTCCTCCTTCTGCGTGAGCCGCTTGGTGCGGCAGCTGGCGGCGTACCCGCGGTTTTTCAGAGTCCGTCGCCGCTGCTTCAGCCGCATGATCTCCTCCTTAGAGAGCCCGCGCAACCGCCGATTCAACTCCCTAACAGTGAGCTGAACCAACTCCATGTCACTCAGGTGCAGGCCATTGTTAGGGCTCAGTTCTGGATCTTCTGGCTCTTTCTTGATCTGATAGAAAAAAAAAGAGAACACAAGAAACTGTTTAGGATCATGATGTTTCTAATAGTAATATAGCTCTCAGAAATGAATTTTCTTATCTTCTATGATCTTGAGTTTTCAGTTAATCTGTATCTATGTCTGTACCAGTATAACAAGGTCATTGACAACATTCAGAATAATACAGATCAAATGTTCTGCAAGAAATATTATCATTTTGTATCCGTTGTTGTAACGGTGACTGTCATTGTTTTAAAGTAAGGGATTAGAAATAAAGAGAATTGCTAGTTTTTACGGGCAATTACGGGCAATTCTTTATTTCTACAAGGACAGTCAGCGGCAATAAATTGGCCAACAGAAGTGGAACAAGCGATTCTACCACACAGCAATATCTGGGATCCCACTTTCTGCTGACGCCAAGGCCTTTCCCTTCGGGCTATTGGACCCATTGTCAATCAATTTCAAAAATTGCTCCAATTAGCACCCAACGATCCCCCGGTCGTCCCCAGAGAATAAAAGAGTCCGTTTACAGCTCTTTTTTTTATGACACGGACTAGACAAAGGACGACTTTCTAGGTAATAAAGTGCAAGTTTTATATGATACACACTGAGCTAAAGTGTTGGTAAAATCTGTTAGTTACACATGTCCTTGTTTCAGTGGTGAGAAGTATAAAGCGGATGGTTGTGACGAGTTCAAATGCTGGCTAGAGACCCGCCCTGCCCCTGAACTTCATCATTTGCCTCCATCTTTTATTGATAGGCATTAATTTTGCAATCAATATCATCTGAAAAGAGATGGCCCCCTTGGCACAGTAATATTGTACAGTGCAGCACATTCAGGACGGGTTCTGCTGACACGGCGACTTTGCCTAACCGGCGAAAATGCACGCGTCGCCAGAATTTCCCCCCCAGAACAGATGTAGTGCATACTTGAGCAATTTCCTCGATTAACATTTATGAAAATCCGGGCAGAATCCCGACTTGTCCCATTATTCAATTTAGAGGAACTGGAATTGTCAGCAGGATAGTGAAACGCTTCCTCCTAACAAGGAGAATGATAAATTCACGACAACACCCTGAATAGACAACTCAGCAGTTGTCCCCAAACACATCTATTTGTCAGAGAAGGTGCACTTCTAAAATCTGCACATATACATTGTACTGTAAATCAGTTTATATTTGGGTAGCAAAATTTTGGGGTCTGAGAAAAATGGACATGTTCGCGGAACAAATTTGTGGTGGAGGCAGGTACAGAAGAAATAAAAGAAAGTCAATGAAATATTTGTTCACAGTAATGATAAATTCACAGTACAAAAGTGACTGCGAATACAAAGTGATTTACAGTGCACAAAAGAAATAACTCATACCTTCAACGAAAGAGGCTCCGTTTGAATTGTTGAGGACGCTTTCCGTAGGTCGGTCATCGATGCTTTGTGGATATCGACGTTCCTATAAACGCAAGGAGAAGGGCCAGTCAGCACAAAAGCGTTACAACTGTCAGGACAAAGAAAAGCGATTCACTTCTCAGAAATCCATTGATTGTTCACCACTTACTTGAGCCACAAGGTGGCAAATATGTGACCTAGTTCTGTTACAAATAAACCACAGCAAAAACCCAATCTTTTGGTCAATCAGACCTACAGATATCTACTTGTTTTAAGGATCTTCTTGTCTGTTTTTGAGTGACACACCAGTACCAGAAGAATTATGACTGATATGTCTTCATAAAAAGCTTATTTGTGATTGTGAAAGGGAATTGAAATTTTAAAGGTGGGGCTCATTAAATTGTCAAAAGGGGTTAAACCAGTTAATTATGACGACATACGACACCCCGACACCTCTGTCCTCGGGTGAGGTACTGAACAGGAAACAACGCCTCAGATGAAAACAAAAGAATACAGAGAAAGTGCCAAGCTGAGTGTGACAGTTACTAAGTAAGTTATTAGAACTTCCTCTGAATCAGGAAGAATTTTTTTAATGATCATATAATGAAGAAGGTAAGAAGATCTTGACACTGTGACAATAGCAGATACATACCGGTCAATTTTGACTTGTATGTCAACTCTTTTTTAGTGGTTTTACTACTTTTTTTAAAGTGGATAATTCATTTTTTGGTGCTACCAAACCTTGCAAGCTGTACTATTCAAATATTGATTTAGATTTGAAAATTCAACGGCCTGTTACATCATTTTTACGATACCTGTCACATGATTTATTAAGGGGCAAAGGTTTTCAGCGCTAAAATTAGCGCTCTGTTGTATCTAAAGGTCGTTCACTTTATTTACGTACAACAATGCTAACGTTCTTATGGACGCATCTTAACAGTAAGTACGTTAGCCTGGTTAGTTAAAAAGTTAAAACTTAACCAACATGCAGTGAAGTGTTTCTACTTGGCCAAATTATAGAATATGATGATAAGCCTAAGTGTGACCTTAGTTCAACAAGTTATGGAGTACTTTATATGTACTTTCTGTTTCATTTTGTAAGGGTGGGATTTTCTGTGCATTAAGGAAAAAAAATATTGTGCATAAACAGATCTTTATGTCACAATATACAAACCACTTGGGAATTATAAATTCTCTGAATTCTTATCAGCAAAAATGTTTTGATTTAAGAAATTATGTCAAAATATACAAACCAACTGGGAATTTAAAACCTGATTCTTTGAATTCTTATCAGCAAAAGATGTTTTAAATTATATACAGGTACAGTACCTACGGTACTTGTACCTGTGCCTAAAATTTGAGTCCCAGCCCAATTGAAAATGCCAGCCTACATGACTTCCCCATATAGATATAGTCCTTCCACAGTGCTATGGTTCATAGGCCCCAGTTCTCAAACTGCTGAACTAAACAATTTCAGCAATCTGTTCGCCCCACTAAAATAGCCCGGCCAGGCTAGGTCAGCAATACTTCCTCATATCCAGACCGGCATTGCCCAGACATGTCTCTTCTCAAATATAGTACCACAGAGTTTTGTACCTCCGGGCTCCAAATACTTTCTCTATCCATTTATACATGTACCTACCATTGAAAGTTGTTATCAATCTTATTTGCAATGCATATAAAATTTCCAAAGATAACCAAGCTACATTGTAAAATCGTCATTCGTAAATTCATATTTATCACGTCACTAGACCCCTTCCACTAATGACATTATTCAAAAGTATACATGATTTAAAATTATTAAAAATCTATGAAATATGAGATTTGTTTTTGACTTTGAGCCACCAAAAGTTTAAGTTTTCCTGCACTGCAGCCTTGAGCTTTTTTCCTGTAAACTTCGGGTAGTTATTTTAAGCTCTCAGTCTCGGAGGACTGGTTGAACTAAAGAAGTTCAAGCTCGAATCTTGGACAAATAAACTGTGGCTCTAAGGAAAAGGGTTATCTTCGGTTATGAGGTGTACACGTTCTAACACGTGTGAGTGTTGAACACTCAGCGACATTCATCTTCAAGAAGAGAAGACTGAAACATTAATAACATTGATATGCTTTCCGTAAATTTATAATCGAGTACATGCAATAGCAACCATATTCGTCTTGACCAAAATGGTAGAATTTTGCAACATTTAAAAAACCTAAGTGCGTTTGCAATTTTTGCTTCGACGGAGCAAGCTCGAGTTGAAAAAACATGTTCAAGGCAACGCGGCAAGTTGAGGACAGGGTTAACCACGGTTAGAACACGTACGCTACGGCAGCTTGTTTTAACACGTGCAATTCATCTGGTCTTCGTGAGAACGAACTGCAAAAACTTGTGACTTTTGCTTCTATTTGTAGCTACGCTCTAACGTGGGGACAGATGTTATTGGCACGAGAAAAACTTGGCGCGAGAAAAACTTGCACGTGGAAAATTGAAGCCGCTGCAATATGCCAAGCAACATGCAATATGAAATTCTCAGGCAGAAAAAGTGAGGTAGTTTTTCATTTGGTACCTGAAATTTTTGGTTTAAAATGTCCTGACTTTTTGGGTCCCTTAGGAATTTGAATGAAAAGTGAACATTGGAAAATCACTTAAATTTCATTAAAATCCATGATAAAGTTGTCAGTATAACTTAGGGTTTATGCAAATGTAAAATGTAATGCTTATATCTAGTAATTCTATAAGTTTTATTTCATGTTTTCCCAAGATCCCACAGATCCCAAGTTTTTCAGAATCAGACACACAAAACCTCAACCCCTCTAACATAATAAAAATAAAAATCTAATGTAGTTATTTGGCGAACTAAACAAGTTGAACTAAACAAGTTGTTGTTTATTTTATTCTTATAATCATATAATCAGTGTATATCATATGATATGATATCATGTCATACGAAAATGTATATCATTTCTATCATACAGTCATCTTTGATTGCAAGAACTATCAAGAAAGATGTCATATAATTACTGCAAACAAATTCATACAAACTTGTAAACAGTCAATAAATACAATTCCTTAAAAGAATTTAGCTGTAACAATGATTTAACATCAAGGAAAACATACACTGTTGTTTTACCGTTTTCCGAGAAAATCGCAACAACAGCTTACCACACACGACCACCTAACACTTCCTTGTTGCACCCCACACTTTCTCACGACAAAGCAAACAATTTCCAACAAACACAAACAATCAACATTGAGAGCACGTGGACAAAAACAACACCGTAAACAAATCAGATAGTAACTCGTCAACTACGACAACAAAATAAAGAGAAACCTGCCGATTTCTTGATTGTTTTCTAGTGAGAAGGAAACAAAGGGTGCGATGTGTATACCACGTGGCCGCTTGCTACCGCTACAATGTACACACCCAAACCCGCCAAACGGAACCAACGAAACATGCGGGAACAAAAGGGGTGGGTTGGGCCCACGCACGGCTGTACAGCTACGTTTCTGTCAAAATTCCCTACAAAATACGCACGCTGCTACAAATCCGACAACAGCGATCGTTGACTTGGTGATTTTGGGAGCGGGGAAAAATTCGTGAGTAAGCTGTTTCGACCGAGCGGTCAAATCACAGGCATATTTCGTGCCTGGAAACTTGCTGACTCATCATTACCAAGATAGCCGGTTCACATACTCGCCCGTCTCGTGACCAACCCTTGCCCCCTTCACGTATTTTCTCTTCACATACATTCCTACAAGGACGGCTATTTCAACGGCAGCTGTAGAATTCAGGAACGAAGGATGTGAATGGGAAGTTAACGCTGACATTTCTCGCTAGATCAGGGCCTGCCAGGCAAAAATGCGGAATATTTACACGAACTAATTCATGCCAGGCGACCGCACACACGTTGTGCTAGTTACCCCAATGTCTGAGTCCCGAATCACAACAAAGACAACAACAACAAACATCACACTCGTCTTGTCGTGGTATCTTAAACGTTAGAGTTCGTGAGAGATCTCAAGTGTTGATCTTCACTTCCCGTCTGGCTGGAAAATTCCAAGGAAATGCGGGGAAACGAGACCCGTCTGGTACGGGTGGCCCTGCCCGCCCCAGCCCTTTGTTGTCAATATCAAAAAACGTCCCGGTTTTACTCCAAACCTTCGCCGTACGACAATAAAACGACGTCGATCGGCGATCGCATACGGCAACGGAGAGAAGTGACACACAACGTACCGTACAGTAAAGACGACGGGTCCGGGAAACGGCGTAGTAAAAGGCGGTGTCCTGCGTGGCCCTGCGTGCGTGGCGGGAAAGAAATCTACAATGTGTACACACAGCAATGCAATCCGTCTGGGAAATTCACAACACAGCGTGCTGATGACGTACATGGATCAAACCATCACACTAACAGAAGAAAATTTAACCAAAATCGTTTCTTAACAATGTCAAATAAAGTTTAAGGTTTAAAAACTCTCAAAATACGCAATATGAAGTAATATTTTGTCCTGATATAAGTTTATTTTGAGCAGTAGTGCTTAGAAAGATTTTGATTATATGAAACAGTTCGGGTTCCCTGTCCGTCATTTTGGTACGTTCTGTGGGCGGAAGTCACGAGGAAATCACGTGATTTCATTCACCTCGCTGCGCCTGACGGGAAACTTGCACCATCACTTCCGGGTTTGTTGTGTGGCAGATTGTTTATTTGCCGTACCGTTATATTCTGAGCGAGCTTTTCCACAAAAGTGTAAGTATTTTTTTCCCTCTCTGTTGGTGAGCATTGGCACAGACCAACATACCAATGCTCAACATAATGATTTTCATGAATGTATGAGTCATTGTCAGAAATATGCTCCCATTTGCAAAGTGTTACTTCAGTAATCAGTACCATTATATGTATACAATTGCGCTTTTTAGGTGTCATTCAGATAAACGACAAAACCAATGGAATTTCTGTTCAGTAAGTTAGTCCTAAGAATAGGTCAAATTATTAGATTTTATTTGTACAGATTCGACTCAAGAATAAATTAGATATGATATAATATATTCAAATATAATCCATAACACGTGACACCGGTCAATAAAGATTTAGAAAGGTATTTTTTAAGGGCCACCATATTGAATACCCCTCTGTTCAACCATGGAGGTTAAACATAAAGCTCCTTGGTTAAACTAAGTCATGGTTACATAACCGTCATAAATTTAAATGCGTGCTTAGAAACTATTGAACTACTAGAAAACTTCTAGTATAATGTAGTGTATGCTGTTTTTAATTAAAATTGCATATTTCTTTTCTTTCAATGAATTGAATGTGCACTGCTTGGTACTTAAGCACGCTGTGTACATGTTTTTGTTTCAACACTTGTCGTTTGAAAATGATGTAATGTTTATCGATTCTTTTTCTGTTGTTGAAACAACATTGTTCATGTTGACAGAATATCCTCTAGTTATCAACACAAAACTACAACCTCCTTTCTCCATTGCAGGTCTGATACCAGCTACTAGAAGCAAGATGTCCTTCCTGAAAGATGCTGTGAAAGGGTTTGTCAGTAACCTGGTTAGTGACATGCCCTTGCTGGGAACCCCCTACTCTATCAAGGTAAACACTGGACTTCATATCTGTATACACGGGAAGTAAGATAGCTAGTAGCACCCCCTCTAAGCTATATATAACGTTAGGTAACTTAGTGGATACCGGGTAGTTTATGTGTGTATGTATTGTGCCTGTAAAATGTGTGTAAGTATTGTGACTGTAAAACACTTCAAGTACTAGTACCTCTTTCACTGCTTGCCAATATATTGCAAGAAGTAAGCACCAATAATTTAATGGTCTGTACTACTGCCAAGGAGGTTAATTATAAATACCTCCTTGGTACCACTACTAATACAGTCCTAGAATACAAGGTTTATCAGTGTCTAGTACTGTCTCTGTCTGATTTTACAATACATTACAAAACAAACAAAATGGAATCATTCAGGAGGTGGATATGAAGAGCTATGCCAAGTACGGGATCATGAAGAGAGAAGACTGCCTGACTCTCTACAGAGATGAGAGGGGGCAGAGTTTTGAGGCCGTACTGCACAACACAGGAATGAGTGTTCAAGCTTACAGGTACATCATGTTAGAAAAGCAAAAAGATACACTTACTACACTCATTAAGTAAACCAATACTGTGAATCTAGCAATTTACCAGAAAAGTTTTTTAATGCACACATTTTGTCTGAATCAGTTTATATAATTTCTTTGTTCAGATCTGGTCATGAAATTACATTGTTTGTTATGAAAAACATGTACTGTATTTGCACAAGAAAGCTTGTTATGATAATAATATGCCATATTATTTTTAATTGTCCGTCTCTCTCATTCCAGAGTATTCCGACTGCCCACAGAGGAGGAAGGAGTGAAGACATTCCAGCTGTACACACAGAAACTGCTGCCCTTCTATCAGTATTCCAAGTCAATCTACTCTGTCACGAAACTGCAGGTAACACCAGTGATAATGATCACTTCAGTCTGGCAGTTTGCCATGCAAAGACCATGCCATATACATTGTAATGTAACTAAGATAGCTAGTAGCACCCCCTCTAAGCTATATATAGGTAACTTAGTATACCAATATATATAGGTAACTTTAAGTATCACCCCCGATATATATAGGTAGCTTAGTATCCCCCCCTCCCCAATTTCAGGCTAGCTGACAAACTGCAGTACCCCAAAGAGTAGCTAGATGGTGTTACGGTATGACAACTTTAGGCATGGTACTTAGGAGTTGATTGCAGCTTTTCTGCTATAACAATGAATGGTTTTTCAAAGATCATGTTATATGGCTGGATTAAACTGACATTTAGAAGACTTGAAATGTTTTCATTTTGTATTTATGTCCAAAAAAATGGAACTTCTGATACAACAGAGTACAAACAAAACTAAAGGATAACCAGGAAGACCAAGAAAAAAATTTCTAAATGTGAAGATACACTTCAATTCCAATTTTAAGCCCTTTTTCTTCCCTTTTTTTGTTTCAGACACTGAATGACCTTGTCCAGAAGCACCCGTCCTGGTCAGCGGCACACTTGGCTGTTCATCTGGGGATGATAGAATGTCTCAAACACAATGTTGTTGCAGGGTAAGTTGTCACTGTAATTCACTTTTATGTGAACACCTGCTTGACTTGACTTATGTTGGGTGCCAGTCCTCCTCTGCCACCTGAACCACCATGGCAGCCCAGTATCTCCTGTCCTGCATAGCTTTCCTTCCCCATGCTATCAGCATGAAGACCAGTGCAACACATCTGGGTAAGTGATCAGGGGCGGTCTTCCAGGCTTCCTTCTCCCATGTGCTGGGAACCAGAGTACAAGGTTGGAGACTATTTCGTTGCTGTTTCTTAGAGAGTGACAGGAAAACTATTACCTACCCTTAACCAGAAACTACAGTGTTTAAACTTTGATTTCTTGCAGTGCCCTGAATCTGGTAGAGAAGGAGAACGGGCGCACACCGCTGCACCTGGCCTGCCTGGCCGGGAACATGGCCTGTATCCGGGAACTCATGCACTGTAACGTACAGGTGGAGAAGGCAGACGGTGAAGGGAACACGGCCTTTCACTTCGCTGCACAGAGCAACCCAGAAGCTCTCGAGGTGCGGAGTTCAAATATTTTAATATTTTTTTTTTTACATGAAAGAATCTGAATTATCTGATACAGAATCATATCAAATATAAACATGGTCTTTTCAAGTGGAAATAAGGAGGCATCAAAGAGGGTGTTCTATATATATAGCCGATTAAGAAAAGCTAGTACTAGTATCCAGTAGCCTACCCTTTTTTCCTTTATGCGTAGTAACACTCAGCCTGTGGTGATGTTGTAGATCCTGTGCTCTACTCGAAGCCCTGCCGTGAGTGCCCTGAACCAGGCCGGGGAGTCCCCTCTCCATGTGGCCTGCAGATCTAACCAGCCCAAATGTGTGCAGATCTTACTGAACGTTGGGGCTAACGTCTTACTGATGGGAGCCAAGGGATACCCCATACACAGTGCTATGGAGGCCAATAGCATGGAGTAAGTGTATATGGTGATTGTATGAGGGTATTCACCATCTAAATGAACCAGTAAAGTTGCCTAGTATGTACTAGTAATGAACTTAAGTTTAACATATTGAGGTCCTCAAAACTTTCTGCTACATCCACAATGAAGACATGTACAGGACTTTTCTGCACTGATACAGGTAACATTTGAAACATTAACTATACCAGACAAATTTTACCTGCACCAGACAAAAATTAAGGATGTATGGACCATACTCAAAATTGTCCACAAACCATTGTTGTCATTTCTTTTAAACTTTGTAGGTGGTAGAAGCCAATGCACCAAATAGAAATTCCCCTACATGTACATTGTACACGTATTGTACACATACAGTACAATGTACATGGACCAGTGCAGGTAGACATCAGAAATACCTGACAACTTCAGATTCACCTGCACTAACACTATGCAGGCTGTATGTTGAGCCCAGAAGTTTGTCATTTTGTATGCCCAGGTGTGGATCTGAGTAGTGATGATTTTTTGTCTTTCACATCACAGGTGTTTGGAGCTGTTGTTGGAGAGAGATCCACGCCAGGTGCACACTGTAGACCCTCAGTCTGGTCTGACTGCTCTACACTGGGCCAGAACTCCTGAGGTAGGGAGATATGTCATCTTGTGTCCATTCTGTTTTGGATCAGGTTGCTAAGGTATAGGATACGGTAGTTCTTTTACACAACCAGAACCTTGCTGACATTTTGGTGTACTGTTAGACACCTTCCTCAGAGCTTCTGACAGGAGTTCTGCTTCTCGCCGCTATATGTAGGCAATGTAGCTGGTGCTTTTGCGGCAAAAAAAACAACAATCCCAAATGTTGCTGAGTTTTGTTTGAGTCTGACAGACACCGAAACATCAGCAAAACTTCATTTAGTGTAATTTTCCAATGATTTTTCTTCCTTTCTGCATAGTGTATCCATCTCCTACTGAGTAAGGGAGCCAAGCTTGAAGCTGTGAGTACTGCCGGCCTGACACCTCTACACTACATGGTGAAGGAGAACCTCTTCACATGTGTCCTGGCCATCATGATATCAGATGCAGAAGTCAATGTTAAGGACCAGGAGGGGAACTCCCCTCTGCACTTGGCTGTTAAGGTATGTTGTATCCCCCCTGATAGTTACACTGACTGGTGCATTTTTTCAAGGAGAATTTAATCTGTGGAGAATCTGTTCAAAGAATTTTCTGTACTGTCTGTAATGTTTTTTATACATGTACAAAATGTACGTCTATCTGTAGTTAAATGTTTAATTTGCTGTGCTTGTTTTTAAAAAACCATATGCTCCTCAACATTGTCATATATGAATGCATCAATATATACAATAGTGATGCTTGCACGTACTATGGAACAAAAGTAGAAGTAGTAGACTGGTTTAGTAAGCAAAAAGACATACATGCCTCCTGGCATGCACAGCCGTATCTATTTCATAAATTGTCAAATGCACTTTTTAAAGACCTCTGTGTTGTGTACTCTTTGCTCTGTGTGCTTCTCCTAGCAGACTCTACTTGACAAGAAGTCTTCAGAGAAAGTAAGCTGCTGCTTGCATTTCTCCCTCCCTCAGATATCTTAACATTTCCCCAAACTTTCTCTTTTCTTATTTACAAGCCCCATAAGACAACTAAAGTGAAGTCTTTACGTATGAGGTGAAAAAAAAGACATTTGGTAAATAATTTATATTAAGAACATGCTTGTTGATTTTAAAATGTATTATGCCTGACATTAATGTGGATATAATGATATTGTGTAATAGTTCATTGAGAACTAAGGAAGAGAGAACTTATAAAGATAACTTGCCTTTAAATGCTGAATCATCTATTAAAAATTAGACTAAGGAATGTGATGATAATCAATTACTCTTTAAAAGTTGATAATGGTATAACAGATTTAACTTGAAATCAACAATTTAGCCCATAAGTATTTGACACCAACTTTTATGATTGATAGCTGTCTTAGTCTTAGTAAGTTTCGTATGTATTAGCCACACACACAGCTAATGTGTTGTTATATATATCCTTTCTGACAAGGATACATCAGAAGATGTAAGTTGAAATTAATGGAAATTTTAAGTTTTACACAGAAAAAGCACAACAGAAGCACTGCTTGCTTGCATGATTCCATGCACATTACTCATTTCATCTGTCATTAATAACTGATTCTAATTCGAGGCACTGAGCTTGCAACCATCATTTAAGGATCTTCAGCAAGTTGTTGGGAGTCTTCCGTGTAACCTTTAAAAACCAATTCATTTATATGAGCAGGTAGACATTATAAACATATATCATCAAAGAAAGATTTCTTGTTTACTTTAAGAAAAAAAAACTCACTCAAGACATTAGCCACAAGAACAATATAGCAAGTTACATGTATGACCTTGCATGGTCTAGAAGGTCATCAGAATGACCGTTTACCACTGCATGGTATTGCCAGTAAGAAGCGATGTGATTGGTCATGCACTGTTGGGAGATTTTGGTTGTCAATCTGAAACTCCAGTCGCCATAATATATAAACTGTTACAAAATAACAACATCTTATGTGTGTATTTTTTTATTCAAGGTTGAGAATGTAGACATCATTCGAGTCCTGGTTGTGTTTGGTGCTGATATTAATGCCAAGAACAATAAGGGTGAGACTCCGCGACACATGGCCGCCCAAAGTGCCACCGGAAACAAGGACATACTTGTGGGTATGCTCCACATGGTGGGAGCTGAGAGGTAAGTGTGTAATATCTATACCTTTGTTATTGCATATGTGATAAAGTGCCTCACGGTGTAAAATACTGGTACTGCACTTTGCGTAGCTGAGCAGTCAAGCTGTTGGATCCAGCACTGGAATTCAGCACCAAGGACAGTAACTGCTCCGGATTTCCAGCATTTTGAGGGGCAAATTTTGCCGTAGACTAAGCTTATTTCAACTCTCTATTTATATATTTATAATGTTCCATATCTTTTTACGCTGATCTTTGTCCATCAAGGATGACAGATTAGGCAAAATAACTGTCCGTCACGAGTGGTGAAATTCTGTCAAATGATGGAAAGACGGACACTGGCTAGAACACTGCGGTGAACACTGGATGTGACCTTGTTAGATGTTGTACTGTTTGTAAGTGAAAGTCTGAAGTAAGAGTTATTTTTAACAATCCTCTGTTCCACACAGATGTGCATCCAGCATGACTGGGTGTAAAGATGGGTGCCAGTACGGGCAGGGGTTTGACGGACTCCCCTCGCCTGTGGCAGCGGCTCTGGAGAAAACACACGACAGAAGTAAGAGAGCCCGTAAGCCCAACTGTCAGTTTATTAGGGCAGAAGGATTTTTTGGTGGTCATGTTCCAATTTCTTAACAAACCCCTGATTTAGGGGCAATCACAGACCTGACTATTATTTATTTAACAAGAAAAAAAAAAACAACTAAAAATTCAATGCAAAATCCCCTCTAACTAGCTTGACTAAATCACACTCCAGGTGGCCGGCTCACCCAAAATTAGGGGTGACTTTAGCCCCCGGCAGCAAGAGCTTGTGTAAACACAGGCTACCTTCTAACATACACACCCAAACTTTATTGTCTTTCTGGAATACTATTTGAGATATGAAAATATTATTTTGAAAGTGGGTATGCAATTGGAAACATCACAGTAAGAGACACAGAAATGGCCATGCTATTCTGGTATATAACATTGATGGTAATTTTTTTCTAAAGGGTTTAACAGAATTGTCGTAATTTTCACAGGTATGGATGATATCCTTGCCATGGCCGTGGGGGCTTCTGCCATTGCTGCTGGATACGACCAAATGGACGGGCCAGCTACTCCATCTAAGTGAGGAATCTTGATAAGAATTTGATTGGAAATAAGTTGGAAAACATATCACATTCTATAATGTCTGTATTGTTGTGATCTTGTTTCTTTTTTGACATACTGATGACTGGCATATTAAATTGCCTGCAGTAAAAAAAAACTGGCTTCATACTCACTTAGAAAGCAATGGACCTTTCCAGAAATTTTAAAAAGCCAATTGTTTCATGCAATAGGTCTGTATTGAACAAAACTTTGTATTACGTTACTGTTGATTAAATTGCTACTTGACTTGTAATTGAACCCTGTCATTTTCTTATTAGCATTTGAATGTAATCATTGACACTAGCTGAAGAAAGAATGAAATTTTGTCAAGATGAGTTATTCCCCTGTTCCCAGATATGATAAAGTGCTGTGTCTGGATGGAGGTGGGATTCGTGGTCTGGTCCTCACCCAGCTTCTGGTGGCCATCGAACAATTTACCGGACATCCCATTCTGGACCTGTTTGATTGGATTGGAGGGACCAGTACAGGAGGCATTCTGGCACTGGCAGTTGTACATGGTGAGTTTTCAGCTGCCATGTCCTGCAGTTCCTTGGTACATTGCTAGGGGGCATTGCACCATGGTTATGAGAGTTGGTGCCAAAGTAATTACATGTAATGGGAAAGTCAGTCAAGAAGATTGTCTCATACATGTATATCTAAATCTATAAAGGAAAATACTTTTTAAACTTTGGCAATTATATTAATTATACATTTATTTTTGGTCTATTACTAAATTTCCATACTGATCACAACCGTACTTTCCTGTCTAAGCTGTTTATGATGGTACTAGACTGTTACGTTTTTTTACAAGGCAAGACGGCCAGATACTGCCGATGTCTGTACTTCCGGCTGAAGAATGAGGTGTTTAAGGGTTCACGTCCGTACAGCTCTGATGCCCTGGAGGGGTTTCTGAAGGAGGAGTATGGGGAGACCACCAAAATGACAGATGTCACTCATCCCAAGTAAGGATTATAGTAAGATGATGATCTACTATCATCGCCATCTGTTGTTGGAGCTCTGTTTAGAGAAAAAACTTCCCAGTGAAAATGTCTTATATATCAAGTTAGAATTTCAGGATTATACTGCATAATAAAACAGGATTTTAAGTTTTTAATGGTCACAGTGAGTCCTAATGTAACAGTCAACTGTTCTTCTTATTTTCCCTGTAATTCTTCAGTGTCTTCTTTTGTACACGATTGAAACCAATTGTTATTGTCATGGCATTTTCTGCCTTCCAGGGTGGTAGTGACAGGTGTGATGGGTGACCGAAACCCAGCCTGTCTGCACCTCTTCAGGAACTACGACCCTCCCAACCTACCCAAGCACCCCGAAAACACAAAGTGTATCTTCCAGCCCGTCACCCTACCATCAGGTAATCTCTAATGGAGACTAACTAGTCTTAGTTTTTTATTTTGTTTGCTTGAGCCTTTGTTCATTCATTAGATACATTTGACATGGGTTAGTACCTAATACAAATTATACCTCTCATGTTGAGCAGATCAGCTGGTGTGGCGAGCCGCTCGCTCTAGCGGTGCAGCACCCTCCTACTTTCGTCCAATGGGACGCTTCCTGGATGGTGGTTTGATTGCCAACAACCCAACATTGGACGTTCTGACAGAGATTCATGAATACAACACCAGCCTCAGACTCAAGGTGCTTCCTCTGGAAATTTCTCAATGAAAATCACGCATTCTTTGCTACAAATGTTTTTTGTCACAAAAAGGGAGGGGGGATACTGTTTATTGGGTTTACTGAATTCATCGAGTTGAAGATTTATTTCAGATTCACTTCTAACTTAATTGTTTTTCCCCATGCTGCCTGTCATCCTTAGCCAGAGTGTCATCCTTTTTAGCTTTCGTCTGCTCCCTGCAATCTGCTACCGGTAGTGGATCGTGAGATCAGACAAAAGCTAAAAAGGCTGACACTTTTTGGCCCGTAGCGGATCATGGTGAGCAGACAAAAGCTAAAAAGGCTGACACTTAGGGTATGTTATCCTCAGGGTTCCCCAGAAGAAGCCAGGAAGCTCGCTGTGATGGTGTCCCTGGGTACAGGCAGGGTCCCCACGGTGGAGGTCAAATCTGTCGACTTCTTCCGTCCAAGCGGAGTCTTTGAGGCTGCCAAGTCTCTGATGGGTCTGAAGGAGCTGGGCAAGATGTTTGTTGACTTGGTAGGACACTGTTTAAGATAAACATCATGCTTGTACTATCGGTAATACATGTACTAATTGTTGTAGCAAATTTGCCTTCAAGATTTCAAGTTTTTTTTTACTCTTTTAGATTGTTTACTTTAGATTTATACATGCATGACTTTCTCCATAACACCATGAATATGTCCTTGTAAGACCACTACAGAGTTCCTTATGCAGCACACTTGAAATGCTGTATACACTGTATACCTTCCTTTACCTTGTACCACAAACTAAACATGTTGCAAAAGTCAAATGAATTTACAGTATAATGATATCACAATCCTACCACCACTAGTAGTACTACAACTAAGTACAAGATTTTTACAGTCAGTGAATAGCATAGCTGTGATTAATTTGTATATTTGCACATCCAAACCTTCTGCAGGCCACAGACTCAGACGGCCGGATGGTTGACCGCTCCCGTGCGTGGTGTGAGATGATCGGCCTGCCCTTCTTCCGCTTCAACCCGCCTCTGTCGGAGGAACTCCAGCTGGATGAGACAAGCGACGAGCACCTCATCCAGATGCTGTGGGACACACAGGTCTACATCCACCAGAAAAAGGACCGCTTCCAGAAACTGGCTCAAATACTGTTGGAGTCTTGAGTGCATGTAATTTGTAAACTGGCTGGCACTAAGACTCATTATACCAAGTACAATGGTGTCTGGATGAAGACTTAGTGATATCTACCTTGAGTGTTGGTATCATTCTCACACATAACAAAGAGTCAGTACACTTATGGTGCAATAGTTGTTCAGTGTCTTAATGTATACTAATATTTACCAAATGTACAATGTACTAGTATGTTTAAAATGCAATGTAACTCAATCCTTTGATGTTGAACTTGTATCATAAGCTATAGCAAAAACGAAAGGACTTTTTATAGTAGCTTTGTTTGCTCAGAAAATCAAAACTAACACGTAAAAACATGAAGAATTGCCTTGTTCTTTTGACTTTTAATTTTGTATCTCCACTATGTCAGAATATATGTTGACTTATTGGTTGGATGACTTATTTGTTATTATGAGTTATACAGTACATTTGTATATGAACTCTAATGTAGTATATCTTAAAGTTTTATATCACCACATATTTGTCATAATGTTCCCTTTGGAGGCCAGTAATTTAAGGCACTAGCTGTAGGAATTACCTTCTGTTTAAAAATTGTAAAAAAATGTCAATATAGCATTAACTCAGTCCACGTTTTTGCCAAAATTTTTTTTTCTTAAATGATATATTCACAACGTTTAGAATGTTTCTGGTAAAAGATAAGGATAATGATCCTTTATTCTACGTAATTTACAATATTTTCATTTGCCTATGGAAAATAACACTGATAACCAAGGAGCTTCGTGCTGAATTACTGATTTTGTTTTGTTTTAATTTTGTAGACATCCTTTGTGGAACATTAGAGAACAACTAGAGAACGGATGCAAAAATAACTTGCCTCTGCTGCTATGCGTAGCTTACTAGTATTGCTGTGAATGTGCGATTAAAGAAATGCACTTTTGTGCCAAGAATTATCAATAGGACCAGATGTGTGGATAGAAATACACAGTTAAGGTATGTCTACAATATGTGAAGTTGAAACTTGAGCAGCTTGTCGTGGCACAAGGCTGTTGTTGCTTTAGACGTACAGTGCCTTTGTTATGATTGTAACTTGTTCCTCAGTCTCAGGGCTGAGGCAAAAAATGTGGAAATTACATGGTGAGAATTTCTGTTACACAAAACTTACATTGTACATGTAACGTTATATGCTAAGAGTACAGCGTATCACTTTCACAGAATTGTATCAGAAGGTAAATATCAGCCAATTAGTAAATAGAAATGTCAGTGGTTACACACTTGTAATGTTCCAACACCCCATGTATGTACCAACAACTCAAAAGAGTGCTCTTCAATTCAAATTATGTTTGAGTTTTTGTAATATTGGAATATGATGAAATAGTAGATGTTACTGTTGAAATGTAACAAACAACTTATATATTTTGAATAGTTTACAGTATCCGATTATCTGTTTACATTATCTTATTATATTTTAATCGATTAATAATGTCACATAACAACTGACAATTGACTTCTGCTAACACAGAAACTGTATCAGACCTCTTCCTTTTAGGGTGTTCTTTCAGTTGGCTTACAACTGTACGTGTGTGTATGTGTGTGTGTGTGTGCGTGTGTGTGTAGGTCGGTAGGTGTGCACGAGAAAGCTTGCATATGAACAATTGCACTTCTAGACTTTTATGGTTGTAATGTGTTCAATCTAAAAGGCTAAACTTTGAAATTAACATTTTTCTACAAAAACAGCTGCAAGTCTATGAATCAATCTGTTATAGTAATCCCCACCCACATCTTTTGATGCTCAGAATAAAGATCACAGGTAGAAATTGGCCAAATTTGTCAGAGGATTTAGTTTGAGTTACACATTCCTGATTGCAAATATGTAACTGGGTTTAGCTGACATCTCTGGCAATTTATGAAATGCTCTTTGGCCAATTTCTATTAAAGTTTTTATCCACTATATATAAACTAGTCCCGTAGCTAGAGACTAACCAACCCTATACTGTAAGCGAACATACGCTACATTATCAAGGTAATGAAAATATTTGACCTGACCCGTACGCAGGCGCACTAGGCTCGTGACGTCAGGAGTGAATTTTTTGGCCTGGGGGATTTTCCCGTGTTCTTGTGTGACGACTAGAATTTTTCTCAGGTTACACGCGAAACAACGCCGCTATTCGCCGCTTTCACGCATTCCTGGCACTTCTGACGACTCCTGGTAACACTGAAGACGTCAGGGAAGCCGGCGATCGAAGGAATTCGGCGGAATTTTGGAGGAGAGGTGTTTTTTCGGGGGTGGTTTCCCGGGGTCTCCGGTACCTGGCACGGAGCACGGCATGATCATGGCCTCCCGGTCTCCCGGTGGGCAAGCAGGTAGGAAACTGCGGTTTTCTCCTTCTTCCAACAGACGTCACCACTTCTGTAGCGTAGTTCCGCGTTACTCACTCCATGCAGAGCATTTCCTATCTGTTGTTATTGTTCTAGGAAGTATATTTTACGTCCAAAACAAACGAAGAGCGGTTACAAAATTTTAGTAATGGCAGGTGTGAAAAAATAGCGGGAGAAATTTCCGCAAAGCTTCCTTCAAATTTGTAGCTATGGATTGCAAATGTGATCGTACATTTAAAAAGTTATTCCTCCCGAAAATATCCGGGACAGACTTAGAACTGTGAGGCCACCGTATCTTTTCTTGGTTTTATGTTATTGTAGCTAAAACCTGAGAACAGTCTCTTTGTGTGTCTGCACATCATGTTACAACGTAGTCATACGAATCCGTTTTTCAACACTAGGGACTAGGAACTGATTACACGCTACAAGAAAATTATATTTCCTCACGTTGTTTACCTAGAGTGTGTTGTATGTCTACCCCTCCCTTAGCTTCCTGTGTGTGTGTTTACACCACACGTTTCTTATACCTGCCACATGTGCGGTGTACAAGTATATATAGTATATGACTCACCCTTTCCACGTCATGAAAGGGACATCAGGATGAGTCATGCCCCAGTTCGGGTCATTCACTCCACCAGCCTTCTAGGAAACTATGGTCGTTAAGATTTGAAATTTTAACCATATAAGGGCATTATTGTGTCACAACTTTGAAATTCAGATTCTGATTTTTTCAGATTCAGATTTTATTGAATATCGACTTGCATGTCACATTAAGTGCGTGAAATATTGTCGAATATTTACAACTTGAAGTTGTACCCCAAAATTCAGGCAGAATGGAGGAACAGTTTGCAATTTTCAGACTCAGATATGGCAGACTTCGCCCCCTTACCCATATTGCTTTGCTGTCCTTCAAATCCCACAGACACAATTTTATTGGTGTGTTACTCCAAAAGGCGGCTATACCGGCTATACGTATGAGATAGTGTCAGATGACGAAAAAAAATTCAGACTGTCTACGACACTGCTACAACTTACAGTACAAGTACATGTATAAGGGTTATAACAACCGGCATCAAGTTGGCATGTAGCCTGGATGCCAGACTGCGGCTGTGGTTAAATTTACTCAGGGACATGTTTGCCAGGTAGTGCCAAGGACCATTGCCTGACACCCAGGCTAGCATATCAGCTGACAAAAAAATTTTCGTAGTTACTTGTACGTGTCATTGAGGAAACTTAAACTTCTCTATATCAATTATCATTTGATGGTACTGTATGTAGTACATGTGTACTTGCATCACATACTACTACTAGTAAATACATACTAGTATGAATGCACATGCATGCAGCATATCAAATGTGCTTATAATTTGTACATACATGTACATTGTATGACATACTTTGCCATAGCCATTGGCCACTGGGATGTACAATTCTTGACGTACATCTCAGCTTGATGCTCTGTACGTGTACATATTCACGTACGTCCTTGCTCAAATTCCTCTGTGAACTTTGAAATAGATTAACTGGTGCCACACAGCCTCAAAGGCTGAAGCACATCTTGGCATTTGTCACGTTGCAGGCTAAGCCTTTTATAGAGTTGTCCAAAAGGTTGTCAAGAGTTGATTTTGTGACTGAGGAATATGTGGCCTCAACACATGTACATTTCTTATGGACTTTGGACTCAAGCCATGACCAAACTGTATTCTGATTCTGAAGGATACACATATGCTAGTGAAAGATGTTGTGTTCATGTATATTTGTATTTGATTATATATTTGTAATATTTTATATGTTATATACATATTCTTTTATCCAAACCATGCTACCACGCTGCATTGTACACCAAGGAACTAAATGTCTGTATCATATTATATTGACTACTTTTTTTATTGATTTGTTTGGGGTGATTTGACCTACTAAGCATAAAAAATAGGACCTAGTACATGTAACTTACATTTAGTTTTCTAGTATTAGTTATGTACAATAGGTAATGAGATATGGGTGAAAAGAAAATAAAAAAGACTAGAAATTATTTTCTATTAAGTTGACTTACTAAGTAGTTCTATCTGTCTTACAGTTAAGCTTTGAGGTTGTAGATAATAATCTTTCTCTCTAAACTTTACCAGTGAGTATCTTTTAACATATGCCATTGTTTATTCTATAACAATTCAAGTCTAAACAATTTTTTTTCCTTTATCTTCTTCAAACCAGCTAAGAGGAAAGGACTGAAGTTGTCGTTTGACCTGAGCCCACAGTCACCTGAACCAGAGGAGGACCCTTTCCACCGTCCTACCAGCACCAGTCCTTACCCTCCTCACCTGTAAGTACACCCCTCAGTCACACAGTAGACTGGTCCAACAGCAACTAGGTCATAGGCAAAAATGGTTTATACCATTGACGTTTAGGGGTGCAGGGCTCAAATTGCTCCCTAAATTCATCATTTTGCGCAAGTGAAATTAGAGTGGTGCAGATAATTTTTGACTGAACTTGCACCAATGCAAGTAGCATTATCAGTAGTCTATTGCAACCACTAGAAATATCCAGTAAGGTATAGAAATCTAAAAAAAAAAACCTCCTTATGGGTCAATACAACATGTACTGATGAGAAGTGAACTTTCTGTTTAAACAGCACAGTTAGAATCTGTGCTTACATTAACATTCAAAATTGCTAAGAGTAAGAGTAAGACTGAATGAGAATATTTCCAAAAAACTGAAAGATGAAAAAGAATCTGAATCAGAAGTGTCTCATGTGCTCTAACTATCTGGTGATCTGTAAATGAATGACTTAGGCAGCTGAATGGTTTCATGATTCACTACATGTACATTGTAGTCATGATAAGTTCATGAAATGAGTAAGGTGAAAAGTACTTACTGGTAGTCTGAGTCAGTCATGTTTTCCTACCATTTAGTGACTGTGTTGTCAATATGATTTTTTCTTTTAACTATGTGCATGTATTGTAGCTTGTATCTTAATTAAGGGCACCTATTTCTGCAAGTATGCAAAGTCACGATTATCACAATATCAATTTACAACATACATGTACTACATGTATTAGAAACTTCTGAATTGCAACAGATTATCACTAATGCTCTTATGACCATAGCTCTAATCCATTTACATAGTTATAATTAGTACCTACTATATCTACTTGGATGTGCGATTGCGAACAGGTTTGTGAAAAAACATAAAGAAGATGATGGTAAAAAGTCACCAGTCCTTATTTAACTTAAAGCATAACTGAATTCCGAGTCATCCTCATGCTACTGTCTAACACAGATGGGGTCAAAGGTCAAGCCCTCCGACCCCTTCGCAGCGGGGTGGCGTACACGACGGGAAGAGGAATATGGATCGAAACTCATTGTTCGTAGAAGTATTAATCCGTACCACACGGCTAACCGCTTGTCCAACACAGGTTCCTTTCAGTGCTTAAATACTGTGGTTCCTTTTTTTTTAAATAGCAACACCCAGTAATGTTAATTGTATGTGAATGCATGCCTTGAATAAAGTTAAACATTTAGTGTAGATACAGGTTTTTATTTACTGTGCATTATGTGTACATGTATATATAAAAGTGTGTTGTGGGGCATGCTAATGCCTTTATTATCATCCTGGTTGTTGTAATAAAAGGATTATGCATTAGTAACTTGTGCACTAGGGATTTGTTGCATTTCATTAAGGACTCGATGAGTTAGTTTAATTCATTGAGATGCGTGACATGCCATCCTTGGTTTTACGTCAGAATTGACCCAGAAAAATAATGAAGTAAAACTGTGCATGTAATTGTAAACCTGAGTAAAGCCTGCCCAAAACATCATTCGTGTACTTTAGTTTAAACTTTTAATTACATGTATTTGAATTTGGTATGTTTGAGTTTTTGAAAAGTGTTTGTGAGTTTTTGTAATTATACAATTTCACTTTGTTTTCCTTTAATTTTAGTTACTTGTGGGGAGTATGTATAATTTTTCAAGACAATGACCATGTCAAGAATTTGTTACTGGTATTAATATGTTACATTCAGGTCCAACATTACATTTTTGGTTTGTTCATAATCTAACTTCTTGTTTCATTCCCTCATTCTTGTTACCCCAACCCTTGCCATCAGTGTTGTCCTCTTCCACCTTTTCCATGGAAACGTCTACATGTACAAGAAAGTGATTTGATGGGGAAAATTTCTTTGTAACATTTTTTTTAAATTTTTGTTGTATTTCAGAGAGAGAATCCGATCAGAAAGCTTGGACAAGTCCGGAAAACTCAAGATCACTCCAGACAAGGTTGGAATAAATTCTCACTGAGTTTACTTTTTTTAACTCAAGGCAAAGCCAAATTACACTTTAGCCACTGAGCTACTAGTAGTAGATGGTATGATAATGATACCCATACGACTATGGTAAAAGAATGTTTATTTGAAAGCTTGAGGATTGTTTCATTTATTCAATCCAACAAAATCGTACAAAGCAGGAAATGCTAATGCACCCCTGAATTATGTATTCGATTTTTACAATTGGTTAAAAGTAAACAGAAACACATTATATACAAATATGTACAAACACCATTCAATCTACAACAGGAAATAGCAGACATGGGTTTTCAAATATCAGCCATTGTCACTATCATTGTAGAGTCTTACTGCACAATGTAAGAAAGACCTTTTTAAGTGTACAACTGTAGAGTCCTAGCTTTAGGCAAAGTGAACATGTTCCTGAGCGTTTCCTATTTCATGACCGACCATAGAAAAAACTGCCAACCCAAGCCTTAGTATACATCCCTAATCGTTGTTTCTTGTTTCTTGCCCATGTATTAGATTTATGACTTTACGGCGGATGACCTGGTTGACCAGGGAGAGATCGGCCGCGGTGCGTTCGGCTCCGTTAACAAGATGTGCCACGAACAGAGTCAGACAACCATGGCTGTCAAGGTGACTATGACCTTCAGAACTTGGATTGATGTGTTAACCTCATTAAACAAAAATTGTAAAAAGGATGAGTCAAAATCAGTTTGATATTATTTTGAGAATTTGCGGAAAATTTGAGTCGTTCTGATAAAAGCCTGATATTCCTTGCCAAAACAAAACGACATGGAATTATATCATTTTGGGAGAAGGCTTAAAAGGATTTTAGTGTTTTTGTGTTTTCTTTTAAAGATTGTAACATGAAAAAAAACAATGTTTCTCTAAAAGATTATAGTTATATTGAATTTGAAATGATTTGGTTCCGTACGTAGATCTGTAGAAGATATTAAAATATACCAACCAGATACCACTCATTAACATGCACATATCTGCAAACATATCACTCTCATTTTGATGTTATGACATGACCCTAACCTTTGACATGACCTCTAACCTTTGACATGACCTTACAGAGGATACGCTCCACAGTAGACGAGCGTGAACAGAAACAGCTGCTGATGGACCTGGACGTGGTGATGAGGAGTAACGACTGTACATACATCGTACAGTTCTTCGGGGCGCTCTTCAAGGAGGTTTGTTCTGTCTTAGTGTCAATCTTAGGCCACACTGATTTAACTACATGTAGTTGATATTTTAGAATTTTGTACAAAAATATGATCAACAGGGAAAAAACAGGTCTATGCCTCTATGACAGCTCTATATATATATATATATATATATATATATTCCTGTTTTAAGGATATACATGTGTAGGTAGAGGGGATTCATTCCTCAAGCTAACTGACATCTTGCACACGCAGTCGTCCCTCAGTAAGACATCTGGAGCCGCATAGTTCCCGTTTAGAACTTTTATTCAGCCTGTCACACAAGTAAGACATCTGGAGCCGCATAGTTCCCGTTTAGAACTTTTATTTAGCCTGTCACAATGTTTTAACTGGTACTTTATTTCCAGGGTGACTGTTGGATCTGCATGGAACTCATGGATACATCTTTTGACAAGTTTTACAAGTACATCTACAGTCTGAACAGATACATACCAGAGGACATTCTGGGTATGGTCACTGTGGCAGTAAGTAACAGACATTTCTACAATTTTGAAGAAAATAATGTATGTTTTTCTCATGTCACATACATGTACTAAGATCGTGAATGAGTGTTGTTTATGTTGTTGTTTGTGTTATTTGAAATGGTATCAGAAAGGTTTTTTTTCTAATGTCTGATCTGGTCCTGTTTGGCTTTTGCTTAACACATTTTTGGTTCTATTTCCAGACTGTCAAGGCCTTAAACTACTTGAAGACTAGACTGAACATCATTCACAGAGGTAAGTTTGTTGGAAAAAGTTTTGAAACTCTTTTCTACTTAAGCAATGTTTAACAGTTACAAAGTAGCCTAGTTTGTAGTCCAGTGGGGACCTTGTCTAAAGTAAAGAGGTTGTGAGCTCGAATTCTGAACTGTTGCTCACCTGACATGCACACTACTGGAAGAGACATCAAGCTGTGGTCCACTAGTACTGTTCATTGTGCTTGTCAAAAATAGTTGGGGGGACTTTTCTAGTACATTGAACCCGTAAATACTGTCCATAGCATCTGTATTCTCTGTCACGACCAGTGGAAGATTAACTCTTTGAGTTTGTTTAGCTGAACTGGATTGAGATTACTGTTTCACATACGTAGATGTTTTGTGAACTTGATATGAACATATCCTTCTTTGTATTTCAGATGTGAAGCCATCTAACATCCTACTTGACAGGAAAGGGAACATCAAAATGTGTGATTTTGGAATCAGCGGCCAGTTGGTCGACTCTATAGCCAAAACCAGGGACGCTGGCTGCAGACCTTACATGGCTGTAAGTTAATTATAGATTAGACTAAGCCGCTTAACTTTGAGGAAAAAAAATCAAATGCAGAACAACAAAATGACAAATGTCTTAATTTGTATCATTGAATTAAACACAATATTGGTGTACCAAACATAAATTATGGACAGCTAACTTTTGGAGTCTTTTTTCTCTTGGACCTCCCTGTTTCCAGGGTCCAGTAAGGTTGTACAGTAGTTTGATTGTGATTTTATAAATATTAACATATTGTTCTAACTTCTTGTCTTTTCCTAACAGCCAGAGAGGATAGACCCCATGTCTTCAAGACAAGGTTATGACATCAGGTCTGATGTCTGGAGTTTAGGCATTACACTGGTGAGTTTTAGAAATGTAGTACAAGTAGTAGTAAATGGTTTATTGATACACAAGGAACAAATCGGCCTTGCAGCAATAGCTGAATTACGGCGAAGTTTACAATCATCAAATTCAGTAAAACCAATAAAGAAAGTAATATATATATTATAGTACATATAGTACATATACAATGTATATACAATGTTCAATATTGTCGACGAGGTTAAAAATACGTGGCTAACAATATAGTATTTACTTACATGTTGCAAAGGTTTCATTTTTATTAATTTTACCTTTTATAATCACTAAAATCAGTCCTGAATAAGCAAATACATTCCCAGAACAACAATTTCAGAAAATGCATGATAGCTAAAATGAAAATTAATGCTCGATGGAAATGGTTTTAGAATGTCCACCCATGTACGGGTTGGCAAGAAAATATTTGGATTTTGGTTCTTGCAGTTTGGCTTAAGATCACAAGGGGGTGCTTCTGAACAGTACATTTTAAATTAACCATAAACTAGAGTTCCGTGATTTCATACCTTCGCCAAATAATGCTAAACTTTGACAACTGACGGCTTATAAATGTTCCTCATTGATTGTGGAAATTTTGTATGAATTATATCAGTTAACAATGTTCTCCACCCAGTGTATTTTCTCATAACAAAGAAGGCTATTCTAGCATTTCCTCATAAATTCTGTAAATAAGATCCTGGTTTCAATATGTTATTATGTCTGAATATACATGTATTTACAATAACAGTTACTTAATTTCTAAATGCGGCAAGTATGAATCCATTGCCAGCAGTTAACATGACATTACAGCATTTTCTGATTACGTAATATAGTCAGTTATTCTGTACTCAGTTCTCTGCTGATGTTCCTCTCATTTTCAACCACATTTTTGTCACAAGTTTGAATTATAGTCCTATCATAACACAAGGAAGATTTTTATTGGATGGATGTGTGATGGAAATACCAGTGACCTACCCATCTTTGATCTCGGAGTAAGTGTGGGTTGTAGACAGATCATAAACATTTTCGTCCTTCATTTCGTAGTATTCGTTAGTGGAGAGGACAGAAGAATGACAGTTGGTGCTTTGTTCGGACAGGTCAGTACCACTGGATAGTTGGGCCACAGCTTGGAGAACATGCACACAGCTGTCGGTGGCCGCGCTGTTGAGTTTGCTATTTCCAACCCACGCGCCCTGGCCAGAAATATCACTGACCTCGTGGTCTTTGATTTCGGAATAGCTGTGGGCTGTAGACAGATCATAAACGTCTTCGTCCTTTATTTCTGAGTAGTCGTTAGTTGAGAGGATAGAAGAACAGGGGTTGGTGCTTTGGTCGGTTGAGTCAGTACCACCGGAGGCTTGTGCCAAAGTTTGGTCCGATGTTTTATACATGGGATTGCTTACAAGCTGCGTTACATCGATGGCGTGGTGACTACGTTGCACAAGGGCCAAGGCAACTTGTATATTTTGAGCAGCGCTGTTCTGTTCGTTGTTCCCGGCTATCGCACCGCGGCCTGAAATATCACAGATCTCGTCGTCTTTGATGTCCGAGTAGGCGTGGGTCACAGATGGGTCGTATACGTCCTCGTCTTTTATGTCGGAGTAGGAGTTGGCGGAAACTGATGAAAAGTCATCATCCTGACGTAGACCAGACCCCGGTAACCCTGTATTGTGTAGTACACAATTTGGTACAACCATACTAGACTGGGTAGGGCGCGACTGGTTAGTAGAATCTCTTACATTTTGAGCAACATGTCCGCTACCCATGTTCGTGTAGACCATCACCAAGGCTAAAACTAAGAGCACAGACGAAATGACTAGTGGTATGGCGTATTGGACCACATAGTCCCGTTTGGAAGTTGGCAATGTTGTTGTCACACTAGTGCTTCTAAAGTGTTCTTTTGTAGCAGCAGTGGCCTGATTAGTCCAGACCTCTACAGTTTCTACGTGTGCTTCTGTGGAATATTTGGGTAAATTTGAATCAGGACATTCTGAGCTAACCATTCTGTCCACTCCACTAAAACGGATCGGCTTGAAAAGATATATACCACGAAATACAAAGCAAGATATATTTGTCATTCTGGCCTGTTCTTTAGAACTTGTGTGGTCAGTTGTTGTCTCCTTGTCCTTCAAGTGCTGATTTTTTACGTAGCTAAACACCAAAGCAATACTTCTGTTATGTTGTGACATCTTTGCAAGCTTCAACGCCACGCCATCTTTCAGGGCTAAAGTTATCCCGTCATGTTTGGTCCAAGCTTCAGAACACGGGCCAGCATACAAACTTAGTGGCTCGTCAATATCAGTCTTTGCCCAATCACTTATTAAAACAACCGGTGGCCGGATTGTTAGGGCACCAAACGTAGTCGACGGGTATATCCCCGGTTCTTGTTCCTCGTTGTTAGTAGGTTTGAACTCACGCCGGTCCACAATAGCCCGTTTGACTTGAAAGTCTTTTGTCACTGTTGAATACGTGAGGCAAAAACCGATGTTATCAATATAAATGTGAACCTTCTGTTTTGGCGGAAAACCAGTTTTGTCCACGATAAAAGTCCAGTTCACTTTGTTATCTTGCTCCCAGGAAATGACACGCTCTCCACTGACTCTAAATGTTTGCAGTGACGGCACAGAAAGAGCTCTCTCGCTGAGGCACGTCAGGGGGTTGTAGCTTAAGTTCAGAACTCGTAAATCGTGAAGAGAATCTAAGGAGGTGGCGGAAACGACTTCAATCTTATTGTGACTCAGAATCAGTGTGTGTAGGAAGGCAAGACCACGGAACCATCCACTCGCTACTTCTGACAGAAGATTGTGGGACAAATCTAGCATTGTAAGATATGAGATTTCTTGGAAACAGCCATTTTCTAGTTCAGAAATACGGTTATGAGAAATGGATAGGTAGGCTGGAGATTTCTGCGATGTGTTTAAGCCAGAGAACCAAGCACCTTTCAGCTGCGGCAAAGCATTATAATCTAAATGTAACGATCGCAATTGTGAGAATCTAGCGAATGTTTTGTTTTCGATCGCGCTTATTTCTGCATCTATAAGAACAAGGACCGTCAGGGCAGATGGATGGATGGCGCTCAGGGTTTGCAAGGACAGGTTTCCGATGGGGATGCCTCGTAGGGCGATCCACCGGGCAGCGGGGAAGGTTCCGTACTTCGATAGCGAAGCGCAGTCAAGGCCTTCCTGGACTCCAAGCCAGCAAGGCATACAGAGGCAAGTAATGGTGTGATTTGAAATGTCACGAACCTTGATGTTGTCGGGCACGCACGTGTCCCAGGGTTCTGATAAGGTCTTGGAGCAGAAAGAGTGGACTTCAGTCGCCGCCACGCCGTCGATAACAGACCAGATCACCAGGCCCACCAGGAGCCAGCAGCCGGTCCGCTTCATGTCTTCCCGATTCGCAGTAGGATCAATGCTTGGAAAATGACGCAGGATACAAAATAGCCTCTCACGTGGGGGAAGTAAAATAATAGAAATAACGAGAAAAAGTTTTGCTTTTCGTACGCCTCACAGTTTCTTGTGAACAAGGTGTCACAAGCTTCGCAGTTTTTTGTCATGAGAACAAGGCGTCACAAACCCAGCTGTACATCGCACAGAAGTTTCAATGACGCTTGTTTTGTTCTGATTTGTCTTTTTATTTGTCAAATGGGTCAGACTAATTTTCTGAGAGATGGGGACACGTGGTGTGTGCGGCCGTTAATAATTATAATTAATGGTTTATTTGTCACATATTCATTTGTACAGAATGGCAGGTCCCGTGTAATTGGAACCTGAATTGCTCTGACAATTACATATTTATCATTGGTTGATTAATAAAAAGTTATCACACATTAAAATCATTATGCGTCATTATTATTGATATGAAATACGTTAAAAGATAATTCATTTAAAATATCGGATTTGCACTCAGGTACAGGTTGCATTAAAAGTCTTTGGACAATAAAATGGCAATCTCAGTCCCCATTCAGTAGTCCCCATTAATGTGGTACAAGTTCTGTCAAGGACTCAAGAAGGCTCAAGGACGCCCGTTTTTTTACCTTCACCAAGAAGGTTTGGTTTTTAGGGCCGTTTGTCTGTGTGTGTGTTTGTGTTTGTCAAATGGGTCAGACTAATTTTCTGAGAGATGGGGACACGTGGTGTGTGCGGCCGTTAATGTGGTACAAGGAGTTCTGTCAAGGACTCAAGAAGGCTCAAGGACGCTCGTTTTTTTACCTTCACCAAGAAGGTTATGTTTTCAGGGGCGTTTGTGTGTGTGTGTTTGTGTGTGTGTGTGTGATTATGAACATGATAACTTGAGAAGGCTTTGATGGATTGTCTTGATACTTGGTAGGTCTTGACGAGACCTCAAAATGATTACCGTATGTAGATTTTGGGTCCCCTGGTGGCTTGTCATGGTACTGCAGCAGAACTTCCGGTTTTGATATCTCATGATTTAGACACGCTAGGCTCGTGAAATTTGGATGGTAGATAGCTCTTGTGCTTGGGAATAAGTGACATGGGTTTGAGCCCCTACAGTAGCTGCTTGCTATGGAACTGCAGTTGCATTTGTTGAAAAATGTTGAAAGGGGGATAAGTCAAGAACCGATTGATGGATCGTCATGATTTTTGGTATGTAGGTACTAGTAGCTTAAGTGATGCTTAACATACATTATAATATTACAATTATGCAAATATGGATGTAATTTGCATAATTAATGAGGAAATTCTATAAATCAGCTGCAGTCCATGATAGGACTGTCTAAGCTTGTGAAATACATGTATGTAATTGAGAATGAACCACAGATATATATGTCGATTATGCAAATGACTTAATTTGCATAATTAATGAGAAATTGTTAAAATTCTATAGTAGTGGTAATTACCTGGAATTTCATACTTGTGGTATTTGAAAGTTAAGTGAAGGAGAACATCATTAAACATAACTTGAAATCATTTGGCGAAGGTATGAGATCGTGGAACTCTAGGTTCTGTTTGATTTTCATTTCTATTTGTCAATTGGGTCAGACTAATATTATTTACGGAAGGGGACACGTGATGTCGATGTCTGGTTGTTAAAATTGGTGCAATTAGTTTGTCGTGAAAATATGACCTCGGTCATTCACCCCTTGCCTGCCAAAAATCATGAACATTAAACCATGCCTTCAAGAGTTATGCCACTAAATCCAGAGTCTCCCACACTAAAGCGGACTGATTTTATACTTCTGACGAAGGCAATGACGATCATTTATCTTCCATTTTAGCTAATACTATATCTAGGGCGCGAAACACTGGGTGTAGGATGCACCTGTGCACCCGAATATTTTACATAAAGACATTAAATGTATACTAGTACAGTAGTATACAGCATACATGTATTCTTGACATCTAAGTGTCAGAAATATAACTAAATCTTTGTTGTTTAAGATTATTTTATATGGTGCACTGAATTTTTATGTTGGGTGCACCAGTGCACTTATTCCCAAGAATGAATTCCGAGCCCTGTTAATCAAGTAACAATAAAAGTTGGTTTCTTTTGTTATAGATGGAGCTGGCCACAGGAAAGTTCCCATACCCGAAGTGGAACAGTGTGTTTGACCAGCTGTCACAGGTAGTGAAGGGCGACCCTCCACAACTCAACCCTAAAGAACACAACTTTTCACCTGACTTCATCAACTTCGTCAATATATGGTGGGTATACATACTGGTTTTTATCATTTTTAAAAATCATAACAGTAAAAGCTTTTTAAGTTAGTAACTCTCATTCAATTTCATCTGTGTTGGCATCTCTTGTATTATTTTATCATATAATAACAAAACGTCAATATTTTGTCTGCAGTTTGACGAAGGACGCCTCCCAGAGACCTAAATATAAGGAACTGTTGGTAAGTTTCTGTACAAGCTGTTTTCAGGTTCGATCTTTGAATTTAGTAAGTGTTAAATTGTTAAGATCAAAGAAGCAACAGAGTCAATGTGGCCTAATCATAATGTACCATAAAAGTATTTAATATTTGCTTTAGAATATGCTTTGGTTTTATCTCATAATTCTGGTTTTGTTCTATGAATTTTAAATGTTGTGGTTTTGTCTTCAGGGTTTTCTTGTTGTCCTCTTATAATTCTTAACGTATTTCTTTTGTACTGAATTGTTTCAACAGTCCTTTTCACTTAGTTAAAACCAGTGCGAAAGTACAATGCAGTAGGATGAGTTTGTTAAACTGTTTCTCGGTCCTCCGTGCAGAAACACATGTTTATCCAGAGGTACGAGACCCAGGATGTTGACGTGGCGTCCTTCGTTCTGGACCACCTGGACCAGATGCCCCCCCACTTGCCCACCGACCTGACCACCTACTCATGAGCTCTACACACCACAACATAGCACCTCGGCAGAACGTACTGCACCTGCGCAGAAACCATCATGTGTCGCGTATAAGCACTGGGCAGAACTTACAGCGTACTGCATGGTTTTTCATAGTTGTTGCAGGACTTCAAACGTTGTTACAGTATCAGAATTTAGCCCATTGCAGAAAATATCTCTTCAGATACAACAATTTTGTGTTGGAAAGGATGTCGTCTGCAATGGGCAAATTTTGATGCAAGGTTTAGGAAACATCCAGAAAACCGTGAAAAAGTTTTACACAGACACAGTACGTTCTGCTGATGTGCCTCACAACATAGGCTGACAACAGGGTAGAGTAGAGGGTTCTTAGTTTAGGTAAGTAGAGGCTAATGCATGGTGTAACTCTGCAGTTTAAGCTGATGTGCTGACAATGGTAGAAAAAAAAGTGGTAATTATTTTACTTCCAAAATTCTTCTTAGCAGATTTGTGAAAACTGAAATAGGACTTGGATTTTTATGGTATACTTTAATGTATAGTTGACTTAAATGTTTGCAACGACAAAATTGGGATTTGATTTTTTACTAGAAACAGGCCAAAAGAAGTAGCCAATCATAATCATATAATAAACCACAAATGCAAATTTTACAATGTACATGTTTTTAGGAAAAGAAATTAGCGTGTCGATGTATTATCAGATCAAAGGAAGAAGCTAGAAATGATTACATCTTGATACACACATGTTGGAAGAGGTTACACTGCACACTAACTCTCATTGTCAGTCACTTTTCTGCAGAATCTATGGACATAGACTGCTAACCTGCAGGACCCATTTCAAAAAAATGAACTACCAATCGGAGTCCTGTATTGTGGTCACTACAGAAACTGTGCAAAACAGAAAAGTTTCGGTTATTATCCCAACATTACAGCAACTCAGCTCAAACTCAGACCCAAATTTCAGTTAACGAATGACGTTTATGTAAATTACTCATAGTAGACAGACCTGATTACAAATTCATGTAGTTGGCACAAAGCATCTAGACGATGGTTCAATCTTAGAGCTGCTAGGGGGCAAAATTTAGGCTATTATAGGGGGGTGCTTAGAACTAAAATCAACATATGATAAGTAAGAAAACTAAGGGCAGCTGTTTTTTTACATGTACTCACTTATGTGTCTGTTAGACATGATTTGATCGAGTGATAAACTCCCCTGTGGTAGCAGTGGTGTGATCTTCTGTAGGGTGCCATTTGTGAAGGTTTTTAAACGGACTGCACCACTCTTACAGGTTTTAGGGGTGGTGTTTTTCGGCTGGTTTTACAAGGTAGGAAAGGAGGATGAAAATGCTAGCTTAGTGGTCTGTACACATACTAGACGTATTTTTCCAGGACCACTGACTACTACATATACTAGAGTTCCTGTTTTGTTGGGGATGCAGTTTTAGCTTGTTATGGCAGCCATTCCGTAATTATAGCCAGATATGAAAATGTGCAATGTCTATATATACAGGCAGTTTTTCCCACTGCATAATTCACTGCATTGTACTCCTGTATGTGCTACGGCAATGAAAATTGATTTTTTTATCTATTAGTTTAATACTTTAATTGAAAATATTTTAGCTAGGAGAGCAACATCTTGCATTTTTTTTATAAATCACATTTAGATTGAAAAATGTACCCAACTGGACATGCCATATTTTACTAAATTTCCCAACATGTTTTAAAACAGTTGACTGTCAAAGCTGAAAAAAAAAATGCTTTTAGTGTAGATTTCAATGAGGGTCCTAAATTTTATGATTGGCTGCTGCAACTGTATTTTATGCCTGAATGAATCAGCCTGGAGACACCCAGGGTGGTTCATTCTGGCCTTTAAACGTGCCTAAAATTTTGTCAGCTGTATTTCAAAAGGAAACACCTTTTAGAGTTGTATGTTTTAATAGAGTCTTCCAAACACACACACTGTCAAGTTTATTTACGACCATATACTGAATGTTTGCTAGAATTGGTTAAGGATAGAGCGAATACTACTTTAGATTTTACCCATAAACTTCATTATTTTGCTTGCCAACTACATGTACTTATCCTATGACCTACATCAAAATGAGAAAAAAATGGTACAAATAGACTTATTCAACTTTGGGCTATTCCATTTCATATGTAGGGAGTTCTCAGTATTTTCCATCAAAATGAAAGTAAGGGATTGAATTGTTGCTGACTCTTCTCTTGAGATGTTAAAATGGAATAGCCGAAACACGAATGCTACAATTATATCAAACACTTTGTTTATGTTAGGGGGCTAATGTACATGAATATGTAATTCACATTATTCCATCTTGAAAATGTTACTTGGCTTGTCAAACTACATTTGTAACCACCACCCTCCCCCTTACAGCTTTTTGAACTAGACCCCTTTTCATGGTCGTTGCACCATGTTGTATTCTACTCAGGAAGCTGACGATGATAATACTTGTGCACTTTATAAGCACAGGGTCCTGTGATATATATATCTAAATACGAATATGTATATATGGTGTAAAATATTACCAGCAGTGGGTTTAGGCCAGGAGGTAGCTTGTGTATATGTATTATATCATACAATCAGAAACAAAATAAATAAAAAAAATTGACCTTTCCAATATAGTTGGTCTCTTCATTGTTACAGGTACTTCCGGGACAGGAGTATTGTTTTGGGTGGTTCTGGTTTAGGGGGTTTGTATGTTTGGGTTCCACGGTAGGAATAATAGTGTTATATTAGAGTAAGGCTACACTTCTGTATAATGACCTTGATTTTATGAATGACATTCGCGCACTCATTGATTTTTTTTCCCTTGTTAATATTGGAGATTTCAGGCCACTCTCCGATTTCGGAATTTTGGGAATTGCCACTTTAGAAGCTCGTAAGGGGAATTCATATTATACCTTTGTCAAAGTGTTAACACGCCGACAACCAATCGTTTTATTTTCTGCAGAGTTTGGGTGAAATAATCAGGGACAAAGTATCAAAATGTGTATGTATTGTGTATGTGTGTTTATCAACCTCTAATTTGTCAAATACCGTGAAAGTGACAATGTTTTTATCTTTGATCAGTAAGTTTATAAGCAGTACTAGTTATGAAGAAAAGAGGGTGAAAATCAATTAAAATAACAAAGCCTACGAACACAGATAATGAACCTGCTAGTTGTCTAACCGTGAATAATCCACTTCCAATGACAAAGGCCATTCCTGCCTTACCATTCGACCCTACCGCCATTGTCATTAGATGAAACAAGGCTTGAAGGTACTAGGAGATGTACAAAGGTATTGTGTGACGGGTCATTATCGTAATAGGAGAACAAAACAGATCACAAAAAAACATTTGCATCGGCCGGGAATCGAACCCGGGCCTCCCGCGTGGCAGGCGAGAATTCTACCACTGAACCACCGATGCTGACTGCATACTGAACGATACTTTGCTGCGTTTCGGCATTCATTTGTCTGCTCTGAAACCCATGGGATTTATTTATTTATTTATGAAGATTTACCACATTTGTGGAAGGATTGACATAACAGGTGACTATCACCTTTTCAAAGATGTCAACCCCGAGACCAGACTGTAAGGTTTGAACCACTCACACCGGGAAGGTCCCCTACTCTTTTCGATAAGTGCGGTGGGTTCTTTAACGTGCGTGAGGTGTGGCTCTCCCAAACACGGGACCTCCACGGGATGCTCTATCTGCGATAATTATCGTGTGGCTACACTCCAAGTCCGTGCGTAGTACGATGTTTGGGCCTTCAATCTAGAGATGTCTTTTGAAAAAAGCTGTAATGACGAGAATGACTCAAATAATTGGTCTCCTTGGTGACTTGAAATTGACTTATGCTATTAAGACTGGACTTAGATTCACATTGTAAATGAGTAGCCTGGTTACCAGATCTATATATAGCTCCCTAGTCCTGCATCCTCTCTTTCGCCCTCTATCTTGCGGAGAGTATTGTAGGACTCGGGAGCTATAATAGGTCTGGTAACCAGGCCAGTATAAAATGAGCTCTTATCTTTCTAACGGAGAAGAGATGTTTTGTAATGGTTTATTAGAAGTTACTTGTGGTAAAGAAACCGGCGTCATTTCCTTGTTTCATTCGGTCAGTCTTTCTCTCCCGACTAGTACTGGTTGGTTTTCATTCATATGTCTCCAACATCTAACCACTCAACGTAATACAGTACTGTTCAGCGCAAATTTAAAGCCTTGAAGTTGGGAAATGATATATAAAAAATCTATGTCATTGCGGTTTAATACCAAAATGTACTATTAGTGGATTAATTAACAGGCAATCCGATGGGTCCAGGACCTTTCACATTCATTTTTTTTCAATTCGATTAAAAGGGCTATCCGAATAGAAAATAGTCTATCCGAATCGACACCGAATCCACAAGAGCGTTCGCACTGTGTCCACAGGCGAGGGGATTGAAGCGATTCGCCTGGCGTTTCAGGGAATATCGCTACGCGGCGCTCGTCAGAGGTGAAAGGTTAACCACAAGATGGCAGGAATAAGCTTTTGGTGCTGCTATTTCTGTGGAAACTGATCTGAAATCGCAAGTAGCGGACCGGGTTCGATTCCTGTGAGGCCCAATTGTGTTCATTTCTGTACTGCTAGTCTCTGTTGATCTTGGAGCCAATGGTATGCTTGTACGACTTGCGGACGTAGTCGAAAAACGCTACACACCTGTAATTCTTACCTGGCCGAAGACTCTACTCAAACGACCGTTCCCTATTGGTCACTTCTTTTAATATCAATTAAACCTTGCCTTTGAAAAGGCTTGCCTAATTCTTCCCTACACTCATTTGGAGAGCGTGGCAGCAGCAATGAACAGCAACACGTGCACCGCGACCGGCAGGGCAGGACTGAGCACTCTTTTCCCTCCCAGACGGAAAGAGGACTCTCTACACGACCATGTAATAGTCTTGATCCAGCGGACGAAGAATGACTTCTTCAGGGGGATGGACGACGGGCAGCTGGCGAGTCTTCCGGACCACGTCAGGCCCCTTGTGCCGGTGACAGAGGAGGTCTACTGGGCATTCGTCACCAAGAGTGTCCGGTGCCGATGCCGTAAGCTTGTGTATGCTTACGAAGCAGAGGAGGCGTGGGGCGACGAATTCAGAGAGAAGCTGGACAAACCCAAACCAGAAGGTGGGTTTGGAACCCTAGAGGCCGTCCTGAAGGAAGCGGAGCGGCTGTGGCGAGAGAACAGCCCGGATTATCGGGGCGACCGGGCGGTATCGCAGCCGGGGAAGCTCTCGGACGGCCGCGCCAACGTACGACGAACGAGGCTGCCGGAGGAGAGCGAAGCTGACTACAGGAGGCGGCTTCGGGAGAGGAGACATGCTGCAGCCGTGAAGAGCAACAAAGAACGGGCGGCACGCCGACGGGAACAGTCCGTCGTCCTGTGGCAAACAGTACGACCAGCGATCCACGCCCTCTGCAGCAGGCTCTCCGAGGAAGGGGCGGCGAGAAGAGAGCTTGAGGACGAGAGTGTGCAGCGGGAAATAGCCCGTCACGTGGAGGGGTACACTCCACCACAGGACGATACTTCAGCCCTCGCGGATCTCATCCTACTAGAGTAGAGGTGCAGCGCAAGCTCTTCGACACAGAGTAGCGGCACGCTGTGCCCTCTCAAACAACCGGCCCTTTTCAGGGCCACTTCAACGATTCCAAAACGGGCTATATCTATCACAATTCATGAGTTTTTGAGAAATAAACAACATCTTAAAAGTTCAGTTTCAGTGTGGTTTATTTAGAAATGCTGTTAGGGAAAGTTACAGTGACAACGAATCATACATTCTTATTTTCGTGATCAATGTATCGTCTGCAAATCAAACACGGTAAATGAGTTTTTCGTCAGAACATTTCAACCTCTAGTGGTCTTCAAGATAAAATAAAATTCTCAGCTAACGACCCGAAAAGAGGAATGGTTGCAAGAAGAGCCTAACGCCCATGACCATCACGACCTCTGTTCTGTGAAAGGCTTGACATTCACGACCATCACGACCTCTGTTCTGTGAAAGGCTTGACATTAAATTTATTTCATTCCAAAATTTTAAATCTCACCCTGGATTTTTTTCTACTCACTATAGGATTGCTATGTAGCGCGGAGGTCATCACAGTAACCGTTTTCTGATACTCTTCAGACTATTTTTTCAGGCTCTCATAATATGAGCATAGAAGGATAATTTAGTTGAAGGAGCTTTTGCCATTTTGAAGTTTGGATCGCCGCGCATCGGACGGAAGAAAACAACTTTTCGCGGCCCGACTCCCCAGGCCAATTCTCCTCTCCTTTTTGCCGAATTCTACTATCCGTCTTTCCGTAGAAAGACATGGTACAGGCTTGGTAAATACTAGTAGTATGTTACTTCGTTCACAAAAGGACTCTCTGACCACTATAACTACGATAATCATCTTCAAAAAACCTACACTATACAAACACACAACACCCACCAAAACAATATCACACTGTCGAAGGCATGAGACCTCCGTTTATCCTGCAATCTTGAAAATCTATCTGCAAATTGCAGACTGAAGACGGGTATTTAGAACACTGAATACATGAAGTGTGCGGGAGGGCGTGATGTCGATCACCGGATCGTGATTTTTTTTCGCGTTGACGGTAATTTTTTTTCGCGAATTGGGTTGACCTGGGGACGGTAAAAAAATTCGAGCTGGCTAAAGCCCTGTCTCATATGTATTACTAGTAGTTGGCATTAAATCTTGATAGTTGTCGTCTGGATCTGTAGGGGTGTGTGCCGCGGCTTGGGTCTCCATTGGAACTTTATTTCCACCCATGCTTCGCCTGGAGTCTGTTCGTACAGCCAGCACATCGTCATATCTTTCATCATCAACATCAGCAGCAGCTAGAAATACATGGATTTCGAGACTTGTCATGTTTGACACATTAACATTTTAACATTAATTTACATTATAGTGGGGTCGTGTGGCGCAGTCGGTAGCGCGTTCGGCTCACACCCGAGAGGTTGCGGGTTCGAATCCTGCCCATGTCACCGATCTTGTGCCCTTATGAAAGGCACTTTACACGACTTTCCTCACTTCACTCAGGTGTAAGTGAGTACCTAGCTTCGGTTAGGGACGTCCCTCGGATAGGACGTTAAATGGAGGTCCCGTGTTTGGGAGAGCCACACCCCACGCACGTAAAAGAACCCACCGCACTTATCGAAAAGAGTAGGGGACCTTCCCGGTGTGAGTGGTTCAAACCTTACAGTCTGGTCTCAGGTTTGACATCTTGTAAAGGTGATAGTCACCTGTTATGTCAATCCTTCCACAAATGTGGTAAATCGTCATAAATAAATAAACATGTTTAACCTAGAAATGATGAATGCTTGTTATGTTAGCAGGTTGTTTGGAAGAGCGGGTAGTCTTAAATGCATAAAGATATATTGCAATTCATTTAGTTTCATGTAGAAAGTGTCTTTGAAACCTATTCGTACCTTCTGGACATTTATAAAGGTTTGCACAGTATCTTTGTGCAAGTATTGTGGCCAGGATCCCCACAAGTATTCCCAGCATGGTCGTTCCAACTGCAACTCCCACAACAGTCGAAATTGCGATGCGGTCTGAAAGATAGTTACGGACATGATCAACATACGTTTTTGTAAAGTTATGTAGTCTAGATCAATACTTACAGAGAAGAACAGTTCATTTTCATTCTTATTATTGTTATCATCTTGCTAAACATAATGGTAATAATCATGGAAGTTACAAGAAAGAACGTAATGTAAGCATATGTGCAAGATTCGGTTGTAATTATTAGTCTTATTAGATTATTACTAATACTTTATCATTATTAGATTCCTGTGAGTGCTTGTGCTAGAATTCGGTCGACCCAACAAAAACATAGGCGCATCGATTTGCAGACTATCATACTGCAGTCTTCATCAGAATTAAAAAAATCACATCACGCGTCTCTTAACGGACGCACGAGGTCACCTATATAAGTGACTTCTTTGCACTTTTTACCAATGGCTGACACCGTGTGTCGGTAAGATCACAGGATCAGTAGCATATTCGAACACCGCGCACAAACGTCTGTGCCTCTATACAGAACAACCAACAAAGGCCTAGGGTAATTAGGATGATTATAATAACCGGCATTTAGGCTATGGCAACCTCACAGGGGCTGGGGGGCTTAATAATGGATAGATTACAATCCCTTTTCATCCCCGAATTCAATTGATTTTTGTCCACATTGTAAACGAAATGTACCAGTATCATCATGTTTTGCAAAATGTTCCTTTTCAACTTTTCTGCTTCCAATCATGTCCATTTTTCAAAACAACAATGTGGATGGTTAGATAAAGAAGAAAGACTGGCAAACGTACCCCGTTCATCAGTACAATAAATGATCGTATTGTTGCAGATGCCGCAGTCTTCATCTTCAGCAGTGATAGTTATGATGGATGTTCCCTTTAGAAACAAAAATTGGGCTTTTTTAATGAATCTTAATCTTACTTCTTAAAAGACGTATATGAAATGGAAAAATGATATACCTGTTTAATGTTTATCATTTTACAAAATTAGTATCCAATTCAACATCGGGTATTTCATTAGAAGTGAACTATCGTGTACAATATAATACAACAGACAATGCTGTTGATCAGTTGTGTACTGTAGTTGATACCTTCCAATCACAACATTATAGAATGATTTGTTTTCTTTTAAGGTTATTTTTTCAACATTTTGCAAGGAGGTTTGACTTTTAAAAATATTTTTAGATCTGATTTATAGCAAGATCTTGTCTTCGTCCATTTTCAGCCCCACTTTATTGTAAATGAGGAAAATGAAAATCTCACTAGTGGAGTGTCTTCATTGACGTGGGTTGAGCAAGGCAGTCCCAAGAACAGAGGGAACTCGTCATCCTCATCAACAACATGCACTATCAGGACAGTGGTGCTGTTCTGGACAACTTGGTTTCCCCGATAGCTGCCTCCTCCATCCTAAACAAAAAGTTTACAAACAGTTGATTGTTAGCGCTTTTAGACTTGTTCAAAGCATTTGAATGCCCAACTATAATCTGTCATGTATACAAATTGATGGAATTATATTGAATTATATTAAATTAACAGGATTTGGGAGAGCCCACTAGACAAACCTTCAGGTTTCTTGAGTTCTCCAGCATGTATTTGATTGTGTATAATTTCATTTTATACTATTACTTTTTTTTATGTGCAAAACGACAATAAACAATAAACAAACAAAACAATTAGCATTCTACCGGAGCCACAACATTTGATGTTGGAACTGTTACACCGTCTAGTTAGAAAGCTGAAACTTAGATAACCTTAGCACACGTGTTATGTCCATGCATTACTTCTGAGCCAATAATCAGATCGGTGCTTCAATAAGAAAAAAATGAAAGCTAAATTAGTATATCAACACATTGGATACACAGATCCAATGTCAGTTAAGGCAATGATGGTGAAAAATTATCACCTGAGCTCTGATCCACACTAGATGAATAGGTGATTCTTCATAGTCTAACGCCTCCCTCAAGTTCACAACTCCAGTTGGTCTGTCAACCTCAAACTTTGTTTCATCTCCATCCTGGCATAGAAGAAACAATAGATGACAAGATAGTCACATCACAATTGCTACTGTAAATATATTTAACATAGAATTTAAGTACTGTGGGGCACCAGACTTCAACATTATTTTCTGATTCACAACAACAACAACGATTGTATCATTTGATCAGCAGTGTAGGCATTTGTGCCCAATACACACCCCTCCCGGTATGTTATAGAACATAGAACGATAAAATTAAACTGTAAGCTTCTGCCTCGAGGTTTTTGTCGGAATGTAATCCATTTATGTCTGTATCTGACGTCATGGTGAACTTAGTGACCTGTTCGGAACCCAATACAGTTAATTAAGAAACACTAACACTTTACAATACATAAAAGCAAGTATTTTAGTATCACTGATACTACAATACAAAGTTTTGGACACTTGGTCACTGTGACATCATGAAGTGTCATAATTTGATTTCCGTGATTATATTAATAACTGGTCTGATGTTACAACAGGTGTTTTCATTGATTTTAAGACGTGTTTTAAATGGAAATGAATTATAATGTTGCATTCCCGCAACTTACTTACCTCTAGATAATAGGACACAGTTCCTCGTATGCCCTGGTCTGCGTCAGTTGCAGTCACCCTAAATATGCTGGTTTGTTGAATGTCATTCTGACAGACAGAGTGACAAGAACCCAGTTATATCTCTATCCCAAAGCAGCATATCAAATTCCAAGCTAAAGCCCCGCCGCATAAAAGACCAGATCTAAAATGTAATATAATAGTTACCAATGACCAATCACAAAATCACTACTTGTGAATCCATTGTGAATGTTTGAACCATATTTTTACATAGGATTATACACAGAGAGAGAGATACAGACAAAGATTGCAACTCACTTCATTTACGTTCACCTCGTAGGGAATACCCTGGAACACTGGACTGTTGTCGTTGGCATCAGTTATGAAAATGCTCGAATACCAACTCACCTGTGTTGGTAGAATCCACAGTTAAAGAGTTTGACTTGTTCCAACACAAGGAAGAATAAATTTTCGGCTGATCCCGTCAACCTCCGTCAGATTTGTAATGCAGTCGCTGACGTTCCGGAAGTCGGAAACGTGATGACGTCAGGAGTGCATCAAAAGTGGCGGGAAGACGGTATCTCCCACCATCACGGTTCAGAGAGGGTTGATGGGCCCTGATGTAAACTGCCTCCTTCACGCCTCTCACAAAGTAATCCTGCTCCGTATCTAGAATGCGCACCTTGTCCAATGTAACTGTATACATGTATGTTCGGGGGACTCGATGTGTATGTGTTGCGACACTTCCGATGTACTTGAACTGGGGCGCCTGTGTTCCAAAAATCTAGCCTTGAGAGACCGTTCTGTTTCCCCTATGTATGTCTCTGGGCAAGGTCCTCTGATATTTTGACCTGCGCACCGAATGTGGTAAATCACGCCACACTTTTGTTCTTTGGGGGTTCTGTCTTTGGGGGCCACTAATAGCTGTCTTAACGTACGGGTCGGTTTGAAACACGTTTTTATGCCGTGTGTCCCGAAGATTCTCCGTAAAGCTGTTCTTAACATAGGGTAGGACGACTAAACCTCTGTTCTGCCTCGTGGAAGAGTTTGACTGACGGTTTCTAGCAGTTGTAGAACGTTTGGGAGCAGTTGCCTTGGAAACTGCCCACTTGGGGTAGCCACAGTTTAGCAGGGCCTGAGTGATGTGTTCTTTCTCAGCCTCCCTATCGTGGGGGTTGGTAATAATGGTGTCCGCCCTGTGAAACAATGTACGAATGACACCCAGTTTGTGTCCAAAGTTCAGATATTGGTCCGTGTGGGTGGGTTTTCTGTAGATCTTAATGTCTAACGAACCATCGTCTTTCACCACTGTGAGGGTATCCAGAAAAGGTAAGGTTTTATTTTGTTCTTCTTCGGTGGTGAATTTTATGTCGGGGTCCAAGCTATTAAGGTATTCGGTAAACTCGTCAGCATGTGCTCTTTTTAATTTCGTATGTGTATCATCCACGTATCTATACCACCACAGTGGGGGATTAGAAGCAGTGTTAATGGCTAATTGTTCAAGATGTTCCATGAACAGACTAGAGGTCAGAGATCTCATGTCTTCGTCAAGGATCATTCGTTGTTTGACACCATTGTCTTATGTTTATATATTTTAGGAGTTATTGCTTTTAGTTAAAGACAGTTACCATGATATATGGCCATTAGGTCGTTGACCTACAGGGAAAACATTTACCACAACCAAACAGCTGTCCCACCCTGTTCAATTCATAAACTTCCATCCACAGATACACAAGTTATCCTTCTAACAAAAAAAAAAACGGAAAATGCCCCCTGCAGTGAAGTTTTTCTGATTTTGGCTGTTACTTAAAAAATGACCGTTACCAAAATTCTGCTTACTGTAAATTGTAATAAGAGAAGATGTGATGAAAGGCAAGAATCAGAACAGGGCGAGATTTATTGCTGTTTTCGTTTGTTGATAAACTATGTCCTTTTATTCTATTTGCATCGTAACCTTTGTATTTCCACTGTTAGTATATTCCAAATCTATGCATCTTAATTTAGTCTTCTTCGGCCCTTCATGTATTTTATAGTGCATTTGCAATAAATTTAGGTCTCCAGTGGACGTCAACCATAAAGATTACTTGGTCTGGCCTTAAAATTTAGGGAATGACCCAAAGGAATGACCTGAGCCTGAGGCATGTCCAAAATCTCCTCCCCCCACAGTTGTTATAGGACAGTCCCTCAAGTGTACTCTACTATCTACTAATTGATCCCAGATGGGGCAGCCAGCTGTCCCTATCTGAATCAAGGCAGAAGTTGCTGGGGGAAAATCATTATATATCTAACACAAAAGGTTCACTACAGCGACATAGGGAGCCCCCACGAGGCCCGTTTTCGAACTTGACCTTGGCCTATACAATAGTAGTTTGACTACCAAAAATCATTTACATCTATCAAAGTATACTCGAGTTATTTTGTTAACAAGCAACAAACACAAAAAGTCCGCTACCGTGACGTACGGACCCCCCACAAAGCCCAAACTTGCACTTGGCATCAGTCTCAACAACGGTAATCTGCCTGCCAAAAATCATGGACGTTGAATCATGCCTTCCAGAGTTATATCGATAAATCTGCAGTCACCCACACTCCGAGAGAGACAAATCCATAATCTTCTTGACGAAGACAATTACACACAATCGGCGAGACTGGGGAGCCCATAGCTGCCTCGTGGATCTGGCGGTAGAATTCTCCATTATATACAAAATACGTACAATCTCTACTTTGTGAGAGGCGTGAAGGAGGCAGTCTACATCAGGGCCCATCAACCCTCTCTGAACCGTGATGGTGGGAGATACCGTCTTCCCGCCACTTTTGATGCACTCCTGACGTCATCACGTTTCCGGGAGTCCGGAAAGTCAGCGACTGCATCACAAATCTAACGAAGGTTGACGGGATCAGCCGAAAATTTATGGTGAGTTTCTTCCTTGTGTTGGAACAAGTCAAACTCTTTAACTATAGTTATGAAAATGGTCGGGGTCTGTTGTACCTTTTGTTGGAAATGGAGCATTTCTACTCAATAATCAAATCAAATCAAATCAAATCAAATCTGATTCAATTCACACCATGACTGCATTATAGTATTTTCCTAGCTTCTGCATGTGATACCCTCGATTTCATGATTAGCAGTCGTTGTAGTTGCAACTGCGTAATAGTAAATACGATTGTTACAGTTGTGATAGGAGTAACTTTCTGGGACCTTTTCTTTTCAAACCAATCCACAAATATAGCAATTGACAGTATCTCACATGCATGGTTTACAATCAGTAAAAGCTGAATGCATGTCAAAGAAATTCTTACTTGATTTATCCCATCTGAGACTGTTACAGTAATCTGGTATTCGTCTGTTTGCTGTAAAACATTTGTTTTCAGGGGTTAAATGCCACCGTGACATTACTTGGTGAGGCGCAACGCTCTCTGGAGCAAGAGAGGTGACAATGAGAGAGTGAATGATGTTATTACACGTACATTTTTGAGCGGGCCACAGCTGATACTAGTACACAGAAAAAAGTGCATATTGATACTAATTGCAAAGCAAACGATCGGTGTTCAAATGCAGACATTGAAATGTGCTAATTGTGATATTTTTGGCAGTGAGCGCCTTCTATCTTTGTCATTAGATTCACATGTTTTTAAGTTCTTAAATTGGGTGACATGTACAAAAGCATTGTCTGAAAACACGTACAAGGTTGTTCCGTTAAACTTACATGCTAACCTTACCTCTCTGTCCAATTGTGTTCTCAGGGTAACAACCCCAGTGCTCGGATCAACCATGAACAGGTTAGTGACTTGTCCTGAGACTCCGTACGCTTGTCCGACTCCGTACGTCAGTGTATCACCATCCGCATCAGTTGCATCCAAGGTGTACACTGTAGTTCCTGTTATGTAAGGTAACCATTTAGCCTGGGTGTCACCCGATTTGTAACAGCAACCCGGGGCTAGTATCATTATCATTCCTTATTCTTTCCCACTTTACAAACATTCAATTTCACTTCAGAATCGGTACTTGCAACAAAAGGTAGACAAAAGCCAATGTTTGCTTTTAGAAAGTCCTCCCTAGTTGTTTGTTTTACTAATTTACAATCACCAAAGTGTAATTATTAGCACACGTAACGTTACAGAGCCAACATCATTGCACCTACCAACCAATGTGTCTTCTGGAATTTGATGGTTCTCCATTCCAGCTGTGATAATTGGGGGCTGGTTGGCCTTTGCACCTGACAAGAGACAGGGATTGTGAATTGAAAGATCAAATTCATGAATTAATGACATTCTTTCATAGACATCATTGAAACGAAATCGTCCGCAAGTCGACCTCTAATGGAACGTGACGATGAACTCACCTGTTCTGAGAAGAATACAGGCCACCCCCAGCACAACTACTTCTCTCCACAAGTTGGTGTTTCCCATTTGCGCCTCTCCTGAAATTCAGCAATTTAGTGAAACATCCCAAAAAACGTACAGATAGAAATTCAAGAAGGCACAAGTCATGTAATGTCATGCCCGTAGCCAGGGGGGGGGGTTCGGGGTTCGGAAGAACCCCCCCACAAGGCTCAAAGGTCCACTTTTTGGTCCACTTTTTATGTAAAGGTCCACTTTTTATGTAAAGGTCCAAGATTTTTCTTGAAAAGATAGACTGGAATCGTAGAAAAATTGCTCCCTTTGTCATTGAATGAAAATTTATCTCTGATTTTTTTCTTTGAAATCCCCTCAAAAACGCTCGAAATGCCATTTTAGAAGGTTCATTTTTCAAAATTTTCTGGGGGAGCATGCCCCCAGACCCCCCTAGGAACCTCGCTACGGCGCTCGAGGTCCTCTCAAGCAGTGGGAAGAACCCCCCCATTCAAAATCCTGGCTACGGGCATGAATGTCCATGGATGGTTGTTACCTTAACTCTAACCCAAAATCTGTCTTTATCTTAACTTAATGAAAAACTTAACGAACAGACCAAACTTCATAACAACGCATGGCCCTTCATAGCTTTTTCAGTAATGCCGTTCAACCACAATTGCAAACACCTTTTACAATCACCGCTCCACACAAACTACACGTACAACCTTCTTGGTGCAAGTAAATAGTGTTACTTTACAAAGTCATTGTTTACTAATGGTGGTGAGGATATCTGATATAGCCGTATTTACTGGGTTGTTGCGTTGCGTTCTCTTGTTTCATGAAAAGAATCCGCACGTTTTAGAAAATAAATTCGATTGCATCAACGCTTGATTGAAGCTGCTCTAACATATAAAGCAGACTGGTGTCACAGATTATAGTGCTGTGTGCAGCTAGTATCTGTAACATATATCCTAATGGTACACCGTGCTCTACGTGAGTGGATGTATTATTTCGGTCAAGGGCAAATACCTACTACATAACCGTAGTTGATCTAAACAAATATGGGAACATAGCACTTTTGTGCAAACTCTACATGTACGCATAAGTACTTATCAACAATATATATTTCATAAAAAATGGCAAAACAAAAAATAAACTGTGTTTCCTTGGTTAGTGTACAGTACCTCCCCTCTCACAAGGTCGTCTAATGTTACACGAGAAGGCCTAGCTGTAGGTTGACAAAGGGTTCTGCTACTTAGGACATCTAGGGTAGTAATTCCAAGCTACGGACGAAAGGAAAGACGTGAAAGAACGTACCTGTTACATAATGCTACCTAATTCCACGAAGTTACATGACGATGTTACTCTTTCTCAACTTTCTGTGCTTTAGCCGTCGTGTACCTCACGTAAACATCACCAGGGGCCTTTGCGCGGGACGTTCTTGAATTGAAGGCTCTGACAATGACGTGTTTAGAAAACCCCACAAGGTGGATCCGATATCATCCGAGGTACATTGTACCTGCCCGACCCCGGTGCGGGTAGGTCATCATACCCACCCGTGAAACGCGCATTTCAATGCGAAGTGGGCCAGAAGTTTAGAAAATATGGGCTTATTAAAAAAATTAAGAACATTGAAATCAATAACAAATTTGCAACACTTGCTTTAACTTCAGATCTCAACAAGAGTTCGAAAATTTTTAATTTTGCATAATATCCTTTACAGAAACGATGCCAACTCAGTGGATACACGTGTTGCTACATAAAAAAAGGGCAAACAAAAGAAGGTAGCAATCTTCCCTAAAACCTTTGGTTGGAGGATATAAGGTACTGGTGACATCTCCTGCAGTGATAATGCAAGACACACTACACTCCACATCCCCAATGATGCTGTTGGGTAAGTATTAACTGCATTCTGCTTGATAATACGATATCCATTAAACATATGTTCCAAAGACAGTATTTCGGAGACAGTGTTTATTTACAGATTGAATAATTTGCCACTCACAAGAGCGATATTTTACACAAGTTGGAAGCTGACATACACCAATAAGCTATTGGAATGATTCCTTCAAACAAGGAGGTTAAAAATCAAATTTAAACAGGCTTGATGTTTAAAGCTCCTTGACTCAAACAGGCACATTTTTGGTTAACGTTACATACACATGTACATCATGTATATTGTAGACATAAGACCACGTAAGTTTAAAGCAATGGAATAGTACTGTAACAGAATATAAGCAACAAAACAATGGCATTTGTACATAGTAAAAGAAAAATATGGATCTTCTGTACCATAAAAGAAATGATAATAGGAAAGCACGGGACCAAAACCTATATAAAGAGAATTGTTCAAACTGTTGAACAATGTCTAAGAGAATTTAGAGATTTTTTAAAGAATTTCAGCAGCATTATCAATTGATATTCACAGATATCATGTCCTAATGACAACAACAGTGGTAATTAGCCTGTGTTACACATGTCAATCTCCTCGTTAGGCTAATTAGTGTGTTGTGTTGACCACTTGTCAGGCTACACTGGTCAGTATTTGTAGTCATCAGTCGTCTTTAAGTCTCAGCAACTCTCCTGATGTGGTCTCAATGCTGAAAAAGCAGAAGACTGTGACTTTACATTCTTGATGATGACACCAGGCCACAACAGTAGCTTATCCATTATAGAGTGACTACTAGAAATTAAGAGAATTATATCAGGACTATAACAATAAAGAATAAATCAAATTTATTTCTTAAACAGAACAATTAAAATTTTCCTGTGCTTCCACAGTATGAATGCATACTAGTAATTTAATAATACACAACAGCCAAAGAGTTTAATTTTCATTGTGAAACTTTATACATGTCATTGTCACCACGGCTTTAATTGCTTAGTTTAAAGCTATAGTTGTTTGAAGATTTGACGTACCATGTAACGAGATCTGCTCCAATGATATCATGGATGTGATAGGACATCCCCAGTTTCACTGAGGCTGACATCTTTCTGGACTCCAATTCCTATAGGATAAGGAAGTACGGAGCTCACATGACAAAGGTCTTCAAGTCAGGCATCTCATTAGTCATGGCCAGAAACTTTCAGGCTATCAAAACTGAAATTTTTAAACAAATACAAGCACTGGAAAGCTTACCTGTTTTAGAATCTCTTTGTACTTGCTTTTTCTTATGGAAGCCAGAACTGCTTTTCTACCTGTTGTGTGAGGATGAAAGAAAATGTAACATTTGAAAGGTTTTCAGTGAATATCTTGGAACAAAGTCTTCTGATGAAGTATACATGTAGACATGGACACTGCAGCAGTATAATATCAAGCTGGATACATGTACTACTGAACAACAACAGCTGACAGATACATTTACACCATGTACATGTACTAGTACTTGCCTTTTGTGAAGAGTTTGACAAAGAGCCCCGCCCCTGGAATTGCCAGCCACCAGCTGCCCAAGTCACGGACTGTCAACACTCCAGCGTTCACCAGTTGTCTGGGGAAGTAACAACAGAGGGTGAATTGTAAGGCCCCTGTGGTGTTGCCAAATTCATGGCAAAACAAGACATCAAAGATTTCACACCTGTGCAAAATATTATGCCCCCTGACTTTCCATGATCTTACCGTACTAGTACTCAAATAAAACCAGCACTCGAGAAAAATGACACACAAACACACCAAAACAAAACATCTGTACATGGAGGTAAACATGAAATGAATGGCTAAATGCATATCATCATTATCTGAAAAACATAAGGGTATCAATTGTCTCCATTGTCTCCACTGATGGTATGTGTAGCCAAAAAATACCCACGTGATCTCCACATCCGTGAAGTTTTGGTCTGTCATGATCTGCTGAGTCACACACATCTCATTGGTTCTGCTCACCACATCTTTCAGGAACCGCTCTGTGTAACCAGAAACAAGAGATCAAATCAGTGTTCTAGCCTGCATCCATCTTTCTGTTTGTTGCTGCTCCTCACAGACAAAAATTTTGATTGAAATCTTTGATGGACAAAAATCAGCAAGTAAAGATATGGAGAGAGATCTAGATGTCGCTCAACCAAGGAGGTTAAATACAACTTGTATTTAACCTCCTTGGTTCAACTTAGCTTAGTTTACAAGTACAATTTGCCCCTCGAAATGCAGGAAATAGCATTTTTAAGAGGGTCAAGATTTGAAAATATTCCTGAGGGAGCATGACAGTGAATATTATAATACATGTACTTACAGACCCTCGTCACAATCAATCGATCGCTGATTCTACTGGCAGAGATCTGAATCAGAGTTTAGAAGTTAATAGAGATTCCAATCAGGATCTCTTAGTAACCTTTGATTCTAACAGATTGGAGTCTCCACCCTGTCAAGCATTATAAGAAGGACCAAAACTTAAGAGGGAACAAAACTAACCGACAGTTTTGGAGATCTCCTGTCCGTAAAACATTGTGATGTGGTTCTTGTAGTCCTCGGTGAAGACCAGACAGTACTCGTCCACCTCATTCCCTAGCTTCATCATCTTCACTTCATGGGCATTTCTCAGGTCATTCTGGAGGAACAGGAAACAATTAATGCGGGGAAGCAAAAAATGGTTAATGACATGTACACATCTGTGTACATAATATCACCAGGGTACATAATATCGCCACCTTGAGAAACAGTGTGCTTAAAGATATTTTTACTGCAACATACTTTTGGTATGCACTCTTTCATACCTCAAATGTAGGACCATGCAGTACAAATCTCTTTAAAATTTAGATAGTACTACTATTTCTCAAGGTGGTGATATTATGTACCCTGGTGATATTATGTACACAGATGTTACTTCTACATACATATATAATATAAACTCTGGAAACTGTTTATCTCTTCTTATTGCTCTTTTCTTTCAACTGGCTGAGAACCAAAGAAATAAACTGGAGTGGCCTGACTGAGAAATTATCTATTGGCAAGTATTTATTGTTTGCACCATGGCAATAACAACAAACAATTAAAATGGCCAACTAATACTGCCACAAACAAAAATGGCAGCCCCCATTGATCAAGGGTAAAACAAAACAGTACAGTAGGAGACATACCAGTTGCCTGTCGACCAGAGTCTTATTCTTCACCACGCTGTAGAGCTGGTGCTTCATGATGATTGGAGGAATCCTCCCCTCGTACGTCTGCTTGGGGAACAGCGAGCACAGGTACATCATGGCAGCCTTGGTGTCGCTGGGCGCCGCGGCGCTGAGGTTGTCTTCGCTGTCTGAACCCCACTGTGGACTGGACGGGGTGGGTCTCACAAGGCCCCCTACACAAACCCGCTTACGCCGCTTGAACACATCAGGCATTAGAGCCTTGCGCTTGCTCATCATCTGTAAAGAGGAAAGTACTACAACTACATTGTATATAACGTTACATGTAACATTTATTTGGTATTACATACCTAACAGTGACTTAATTTCCTATATCTGAACTCCTATACATTTTGGCATACATCCTTAGCAAAAATGATGAAAGATGGAAGGTTTGTTAAATTTTACATATTTGTGAACCAATGAAATTAGTTACTAGTACCTACTAGTAAGGGTGTTGAAAATTCCATAATATTTACATTACAGGGTATAAAACCATGTTTCGAAATAATATTCAAGCTTAGTTGCATAATTGATGATTGCGAAGAAATTCTGAATTTGAATCATACTGTTGCCATAAAATTCTACGTTGCATCGTTACTTCATATTTTTCAGCAACAGTTCGTAAGTTATAACACTTATAACTGTGTTATTTAACAACAGGAAGAAACTGTACAACTTACTTCAATTGTGTGCTAGACTTTTCTTGAACGAGGCCGACAAGACCTTCTCTGGCTCGCCAACCGTTTACGCAACGTACTCATTCTATTTCCGCCGACTCCAGGCGTTTATTCAGCCCGCTAACAGCTGTTCAAAATTAAAATTGATCGATTCCGTGGCAAAAACATCACTGCCACAGCGCCATTTTGGGTCACCAAAGGTCAACCCAAATCTCGCAACCTGATTGGTTCAGACGGAGAAATTTCCCACTACTCTTTGCGGCATCTCCCCCGAGGCCACCACTTCCGGGTTTCGAACCCAAAGACGTAAACATGACATCTTCCACGGGACTTAAAAGACGGATAGAAGATACAGGAACGAGCCAGAAGAAGCCGAGATATGAACTAAAACGTGCGGAAGATTTCGGCGGAGGGAGAAACACGTTTGATGTCTACCCGGTATCGAGATTTGACCTCCCTTTTCCCAACTACCGACAGCCGTCCGAGGTGGGCGTGTTCTCACTGGACACAGCGCGCGACTTCCACAACGACGGACGCAAACTGCGGTGGGTAGAGGTCAGATTTGTACCTTCTAGATTCTTAATATTGCCTTGGAAGGTCTCAGCGTCATTGTTATAACGATTTGATTGCTAAATTTTCGACATTTTCAGCGTGTCTTCACTTATAAATGACAAATTATAGTCAGCGTTTAAACAAATTTATTCGATCAATATAACTACAAATTGTATGGCATTGCATGATTTGTGAATTTACAATTTCGCTTTCTAAACAGATGTCATTATAGTATATAAGATGTAGTTGTGACGTAGCACTGCATCTGATACAGTACATTACAAACACAATTGCACTTACAATTGCACAATACAACAAATACAATATAATTGTGAACAAATTTAAGTGAATATTGTGGCGTTCATAAGAAGTTTGCTTTATTGTCTAGTTTCATATCAAATTTACCTGTGCTCAATACAAACTGTGTTGCAATAATATTTAGCCTGGCCACTCTACTTTTTTTTGGGTGAGAGCTCTTTCTATATAGTATGATCCAAGTTTGTTTGAATTCTATTCTTAAGACAGATAGATGAAAGGATTATTGTTACATGTAGCTGGCCAAACAAGCCCAGAAACATATAACTGTGTTCCTGGACATATTGAGAGTATGGTATTTAATCTATTTACTTTTACTGTTTCACAGATATTATGTTGTCCCTCCTGATCCCAAACGTGTGAACTTTGACCTGACGGAGGGGTACGACACTTTGATCAAAAGAGATGAAGATGAGAAAGAACATCTAGATCACATTTTAAGGTAATTAATTCTACATTAACCCAGATGTTGTTTCCTGAGTAAATCTTAACGTCTTTGAGTCAACACAAATGAATGCATGACGGTGTTGTGAATGAACGGATTGATAATTTTTCTACTGGTGTACTATCAGAGCATAAAAAGATATGAAGGCTACTTCAAAATTACCTCAGAGTCTGTAGAACTTGAATGTACGAAGTATCTCTTTGTGATAAAAATTACATGTTTGTTTGTCAATATTCACACAGCAATGACATGTTTCTTTTTCCCAGTACAAGTTACGTATACATTGATTATTAATAATATAATATATAACAAGTTATATTATAATATAAATATATATATATATATATATATAT